ACAACGATTTAACGTTATCACACGAACAGAAGCACTTACGCCCCATGACACTTCTATACTGGACAAACCAGAACGTGTTCCCTTCGTTATCACCTACAACCCAGCCCTTCGTTCCATCTCATTCATTATTCGCAAACACTTCCTCATCCTTATTTCATCCCCCCGTTGCTATAACGTCTTTAAAGCTGTACCCATTGTAGATTATAGACATAGTAGTAACCTCAGTGATTTATTAGTTAGGGCCAAACTTCGCAATCTCACACAACACAACCAGCCCCGGGGCTCATACCCGTGCGGAAAAAGCTGTCTCACTGGTAAATACATATCTGACGGACAAACTTCATATATTCTACTCTACAGGCGAAACCAGACCTATAACTCATCACATTTAATAAACAAGTATTTTTCAGGATATGTGGAAATGAAATTCCGACCCGCAATCAGCCTGGCCTACAACAAGTCGAAAAGCTCCCTGACTGATTATGAGCTCTCTTCACTTTTCAGACTGTTAATGTGAATCAGGTCGAGGTTATGGCTAAGAAGGTCTTGTGGTCCTTGTGCTCTAAATGTCTAACCACGATTCTTCCTACCTTAACTTCGCTTATTAATATGTCCCTCATTGATGGTACGATGCCAAAAGCTTTAAAAGTTGCTGCAGTATCACCCCCAACTCAAGAAAAGGGATGAAGAGTTTCCAGTCTCAGACTTAAAATTTGTGTCTAAACTAATCGAAAAAGCTGTAGTTGCTTGGCAACTGAATGATCGTATCTTAGATCGGGATGTTAATAAGAACAATTCTGGTATATTTTTTCCTACTTGATCTATCTGCCGCCTTTGATACTCTCGGTCATGGCATCCTATCGTCAAGGGTGTTTACTCTTTTGTAAGTGAATGGAATTGTGCTGTACTGGCTAAGGTCATATTTAACATCGCGCGCACAGTTCGTCAGTGTGAAAATAACTCCAGACCATCCCAACGTCTGTTGCTGGAACGCGGTGTCCCGCAGGAATCTGTCCTCGGGCCTCTTTTGTATTTACATGTATTACTTTACTCTTCTTCACGGCGCTGACGTTGTAAAGAAAGAAAGATTCTTCTCTCAAAAAAGCTGACCCAACGCAACTTTGTGGTGGGGTGGGCACAGAATTAACCTTTTCCATGCGGGGGAATTTCAATAACTTGCGGGGAATACTTTAACGCCGATGACGTCATGCATCCATTATGATAGGATGATGTCATAGTTAATTTTTAGACGGCAAGGAGCAAGTGACGTCAGAATACCTTGGGGTTGACGTCATCAAAAATGTTGAGATCATAATCTATAAATAGAAAAGTGATATCATGTCCCTACTTGATCATGATGATGTCATATTTATTCAAGTAAGATAATATCATGGTTTATTTTTACCTACCATTTTTTCTCTATTGTTTCGAAACACATAAAATGATCCTTCCTTACCAAGCAAATCATTCACGAATTATTTATTACTGGTCAATTTATTACAAGATGGTTCCTAATATCGTTGTTGATTTAAGCGCTACACCTCGGCTGGCTGTCGATGAAGTGGAACAAGTTCAACGGCAAAGGATAGAAGGTCTTATCAACCATATCTTCCAATTGACTTATGCCAATATGGTTGACGAACTAATTCAAGAAGAAAAGCTGAATTGCTGTCACGGCTGTGCTATTCAGCATCCAAGTCAAAGACAACATTCGTGTCTTATGATGGATATAGAGGATTCTTGGTTGTATTACCGAGAAGATGTGTTGGGAAAAAATGATCTGAATGCTGTCCTAAACAATGTTGGAAGTGTGTACAATGCTCTTGGCTTTAAGCTTGGTCAGTCGTAGGAAATGTACGTCACCGAGCTACCACAGATGCCTTGGATTAGCGTATTTCTCACTTCACTTGAGGTAGATGGTTTTGATGGTGATCTTCAGAGTCGTGTCTTGCGCGCTATACATGACGGATCTAATGGCCTCAAGAGCAAGCGGCAGAGACCAACAGGCAGAAACAAGTAGCGAGAAAAGACGAACAACCAATGGAAATTGACCCTGTAATTAATGAAATTCTAAACAAGCTTATTAAATGCATTATTTGTCTTCAAATAAAATTTTATGCGACAATTTAGCCTTACATAGTTTATGAGTACAGTAATGTGGAAAGAGGTTAGGAACATGGAATCGAGGGCACTGATTTGAATTTTGAATTCAAGATGGCGTCTTTAGCTAATGTCGTATTTATTGATCGTCGTATAATAGATCAGGGGCACCCAACGGCAATTTTCGGGAAAATATCTGTTCGGAAGACGATTTGAGATATAGAATTTTCGGAACATTTGTTGTAAAATTTCTTGCTTGCCTGCCTCTCCTAGGATTTTCGAACATGTACAAAATGGTATAATTACCCATTTTTAGCGGATTTTGACCCTAAAAAAGGCCACCTAGAATTTTCGGGAGCCTTTTCCTGGCTGAAAGGTAAGTTTTTTTCCCTATAATTTTCGGATCACTAGACTTTCAGCTAGGAAATCCGAACAGATGAAAAGTTTTTAGGGGATAAAAATATGCCTATATCTACCGTTTGAATACTAAAATACGTTCAACAATGCTATGTTAAGTGGTTTTGAACTATATCCTCGTTGGGTGCTCCTGATAGATGTCGCGTTCTTGATCTCGTTGACACACAAAAATCTTTTCATCAGCCCTCCCCATTCCTGCCTCTTCCTTGTTCTATGGTTTGTATTTTTCAGGTACTTGATGGCCCTCACCTTCGCCGGCAATGCGTGTCTAATGAAAGTTTCAGTTTGTATTTGTATTGGATTTGTATTGGATTTTACTGGATGTGCAAAATTTCACGTAGCCCTTTTTTCTCCATCATGTTGTTTGTATTGCGTTTTCGAACAGAGCACAGCACATGTTTCATTCTGAGTAAGGTTTGCCATTTTGTGGGTAGATTGAAGCATAAAGGGTCATAACGTTGATTTCTTGTTTCTTAAGAAACGTGTCTGGTTTTACTGCGAGCCTTTATCAGTTGCGTGTCAAGGTTCTCCCTTGGGGTTTTTACTGTAGAGCCAATCTGTATGCAACGGTGGGCTTTTTAACTCGCATAATTAAATGACTTTTAACGGAGCGTGACAAACACACGCTGACTCAAAATCAAGTCGTGAACTTACTTTATTACTTTTACAAACGGGGCTTGTTTAGAATTTCATTAATTACAGAGTAAATTTCCATTGGTGGTTCGTCTTTTCTCACTACTTGTTCAGGGCGTTCTATTTCTGCCTGTTGGTCTCTAAAATCCCGCTTGCTTTTGAGGCCATTAGATCCGTCATGTATAGCGCGCAAGACACGACTCTGAAGATCACCATCAAAACCATCTACCTCAAGTGAAGTGAGAAATATGTTGGTCCAAGGCATCTTTGGTAACTCGCTGACGTACATTTCCCACGACTGACCAAGCTTAAAGTCAAGAGCATTGTAAACACTTTCAAAATTATTCATGAAGGACAGCATTCAAATCAATTTTTCCAACACATCTTCTTGGTAATGCAACCAAGAATCCTCTTTATCCATCATAGGACACGAATGTTGTCTTTGACTTGGATGCTGAATAGCACAGCCGTGACAGCAATTCAGCTTTTCTTCTTGAATTAGTTCGTCAACCATATTGGCATAAGTCAATTGGAAGATATGGTTGATAAGACCTTCTATCCTTTGCCGTTGAACTTGTTCCACTTCATCGACAGCCAGCCGAGGTGTACCGCTTAAATCAACAACGATATTAGGAACCATCTTGTAATAAATTGACCGGTAATAAATAATTCGTGAATGATTAGACTGCAAAACAGTCCATATTTTTGCGTATTCAAGTACGCGCGAGCAGTCAAACAAAAGGTGTGGAACGAGGCTGAAAACAGAGGGCGTGTGAGGCTCGCGCGGTTCGCGCGCGTAACACTCTTACGCCACGCTTTACCGATTTCTTTACTGAGTTTGAGGAAAAAACCGACTGTTTTGCAGTCTAATGAATGATTTGCTTGGTGAGGAAGGACCATTTTATGTGTTTCGAAACAACAGAGAAAAAATGGTAGGTAAAAATAAACCATGATATCATCTTACCTGAATAAATATGACATCATCATGACCAAGTAGGAACATGATATCACTTTTCTATTTATAGATTATGATCTCAACATTTTTTGCTGACGTCAACCCCTAAGGCATTCTGACGTCGCTTGCTCCTTGCCATCTAAAAATAAACTATGACATCATCCTACCTTAATGGAATGCGTGACGCTATCGGCGTTAATGTATTCTCCCCCGAGTTAATGAAATTCCCCCGCATGGAAAAAGTTAATTCTGTGCCTGCCCCTCTACTCAACTTCGTCTCCACCATCCCTTTTTCTGGCAATATCCTGTCTCATTGACGTCATTTTTTTTGGATACTAGAGACGGTTCCCAAACTTGGTCAAGTCTTATTGTTATGAAGAAATTAGCCTGGGATGGGAATTTGACCCAGGTAGAAACAAATGAGTAAAAACGAACGACATTTTTCGCCCCAGTAATAGCGAAACATAAGGAAAAGAACCTCGATATAAGGAAACCTTATTATAGCGATCATATTTTGCGAGTACTTTTTGCTGCATGCCTGGGACTTTTCTCCCATCCTTTATAGGTTAGAGTCTACTCTCCCCTCCCCTGTTTGATGCAACAGCCGCTCGTACGTCCGTGAAATCTACCTAACCAAGAGTTTGTCTCGTAAGTTCTATAAAAAAGCAGTCCGATATCAAATGTGGACAAAACGGGCAAGGAGGAAGCCTCCCCGTGGACTTTCTAAAGGAAAAGGTCTCTTTATGGGCGAGTTGGATTATCACTTTGAGTATTGCCTGAAATATGATTTGTTTTTTATTTAAAGAGAAGAGGAACTCGTCCTCTGCATTCAACTATGATATAATGATAAAATTATGATGACAATAATATATAAACAACGCATCTCAATACCTGAAGGCGTTTTATTTCTTTCATAGCTAGACAAATGATGCTTGTAAATTGTACAACGGTATTCACTCGGGGGCATTACCTTATGAAAGAGAAGGGGATGTTTGTCGGAAAGGTGACCCCTAAATTGATCTTACACACTACTATTACATAAAAATATTGCTTCCTGTCCTGAACATCCTAAAGTCCAAAATCTGCCATTTCTACCCGAGCCAAATGACAAGCATCCCGGTCATTTTCATATGGCAGTCCCCCTAGGGGGAGTCTACACTGCTTTGTATAGCTATGTAACTATGCAAAATCCTTGCAACTCTCTCATTTAGTAACTAGACTGACGACAAGAAAGGAAACTGATGACCCTCCAATTCCTAGAAGTTAGCTCAAATGCAACAGTGACCATTAAAGATGATGTGACTTTTCCTGCATCACGGCAATAAGTTTGCAGTTTTTAAAGTTCCATAATAGTTCCCACAGGATGCACACAGAAGGAAAATGGTCCAATATTTCCAAGAGTCTTTTCTAAGGTGCTTCTGATCTGTTACAAAAAAAAAAACACATACAAAGTCAAGATTAGGTCATTACTTAATAATAAGATACCACTTTCTCATGACTATTAAAAAGGAACTATTGTACTCCTAATTTGTAGTTGTTTGAATTTCTTGTACCATGTTATTTGTGAGCAGCCTGTAAACACAGAAATATTTCATGTTGTCACTTCTCTTTAAAATAGAAGAGAGCAGTGCAAACTGAACTGAACGGAGCGAAAAATGGAAGGAGGCAAAGGAAAAGAGAACAACCCTTTCCTCGAAGCTTTTCCCAGTTCCCTCGCTGTTGTTTTCCTTGCGTCTTTACTTTACGTTCCTCCGTACGATCAGAACGCTTGGAACAGTCTACTCTCCATGCAGAATGGCAACGGCAACTAGAGATCAACCTTTTGGTTTGCTTTTGACGTCTTAAATGTGCAAAATTACTCTAGACGGGTCGTCAGGGAAATAAGAAATAGAGCACTGTACAAATAATCAAATATATGGTAGCCTACACGCAAGGTCTCTTAGCGATCTCTGGAGTAGACGTAAAGGATAGAGTGGGAAGCAAAAGTGAAAGAGCTTGCAGGTTAAAAAAGTGCTCTCAGTACCCCCCTGTGGCTGCTTGGTATGCGGGCTGTAAGAATATGACAAAACAATACCAACTAAATATCATAAATGCTCGAATTAATTTTTTCCAAAAGCAAGCCTGAAATGAAAGTGTTTTTAGAAAAAACATCCTAATGCAAAAATCTAAATTTTTCCTGAATTCCATACATGGGTTCAGTTTAGTATGGCAGGAGAAACAACATTTGAAGGGTACATGAGGAGAGGTAGGGAGGAAGTATTTAGCTTTTTTAGCTATTTTGAAAAAATAGCTCATATGTCATATGTGGTGTGAGCGTATGTATCTTTGTGACTTTGTCTGTTCGGATGTGTGTTGCAGGGGGCAATAAGGTTAAAGGTACTATGCTAGGAACCAATGAGATTTTGGCATCTAAACATGACATTGCTGCGCTAAAGGTCAAACAAGGGCACTTTGAAACCGCCATTTTTGGTTCTTCACAATTTTGTCGTCTTTTATTACGGCTAAAGGTGTTTAGAAGCGTAGCATTGGAATATCTTCATGATTCAAACGCTGATTACAGTAATGCAGCTGTTTAAGGGTTCATATTTTAGTGTGGCTGTTGGTTCTAGACATTTATGATCTAATAGAGACCTTTAGCATCAGGCAAACAGCAAACCGCAGTTTGCAGTTACGCGTTTGCAGTTTCGCGTTGCCGAGATTTCAAGTTTTAGCAAGGCGTTCAGTTCAGTTCATTTTTATTTAGCCAAAATATAATACAATACAAGAATACTGTAGTGTATACGATGCTAATGCAAGCGCGTAGAAGCGAGAGAATGAATGTGATGTAATACACACGGGAATTACGTAATTTGCATGTACTATAGATAGCGTGCGTTGTGATTTATTCGAGTCGGTTAGCGTTCTGAGTTCGGAGTGTAACGGTCGTGAATAAAGTGTGTTTTAACCTAACCGCAGTACTACATTGGCGACGAGGATACTTCGAGGATATTTCGAGGATATTTCGAGGATTTCGCCGAGGGTTTCAAGAGTTCGGTGAAAATTTCGCTGTGGATTTCGTCGAGGATTTCGTCAAGGATTTATTTCAGCGATGCCGGGAGGCGGTGGATCGGGCGAAACTAACGCGACAAGCGGTACTACGAGCGGTGCTGTTGGCGGTTCTGGGATGACTTCTGTTACTTTAGATGTTAGTGGATTGGAACCATTTAGTCCAAAAGGAGAGGCGCACAATTTAAGTCAGCGATGGAAGAAGTGGAAGCGAGCGTTCAGTTTGTATGTGACCGGGAAAGGTGTATCGAACGACGCTCAAAAACGTGCTTTGCTGTTGCATGTCGCTGGTATGGATGTGCAAGAAATTTATTTCACACTAGCTGGTGAGGGTGGAGATGCAAGTTTTGAAGCAACGTTAAAGGTGTTGGACGACCATTTCGTGCCAAAGGCGAACATTCCCTTTGAGAGACATTTGTTTCGACAAATTTCGCAAGGTATCGGAGAGACAGTTGATCAGTTCGTTTGTACATTGCGTCAGCGAGCAGCGACTTGTGATTTTGGCGCCGGCGAGGATGACTACATTCGCGATCAGCTCATAGACAAGTGTTATTCGAGCCATTTACGCCGGAAATTTCTGGAAAAGGAAGGAACTGTTACGTTAGATGAATTGTTGCGTGTTGCAAGATCCCAAGAAGCGGTTGATCGACAACTGAAGCAATACGGTACCGACCAAGCAGATAACCAGGTCAATGCAGTGGGTGGCAGGCTGTATGGAAACAAAAATCCCAGGAAAGCAAAGACGTGCTTTAGCTGCGGACAAGAAGGACACTTCAGTCAAGACAAAAAGTGCCCGGCGCGTGGTCAAACTTGCAGGAAGTGCGGCGAAACAGGCCATTTCAAAGTTAAATGCCCTCGACTCCATCAGCTAAGCAGGACCCATTCGGGATCTAGAGGGCCTGAGAGTAGCAGAGGCGGACGCGGCAGAGGAGGCAGGAGTGCTGGTGGACTGGGTCGAGGTGGACGCGGACGCGGAGGGCGAGAGACGAACCTCGTGACTGGAAGACCTAGACCTGGAGAAGAAGACAAAGGAGACTTCGCTACACCAGGTCGTTCGCAAAGACCCGATTATGCCTTTTCAGTGGAACAGGTGAATGATCGCAAGGAACAAAGGAGCGCTTTGGTAACGCTGGTCATTGGTGGTGTAGACGTACCCGATGTTCTCATTGATTCGGGAGCCTCATGTAATGTTATGGGCCAGCAGACCTGGGAGTTGTTAAAGCAAAAGGGGATTAACTGTGAATCTCGCAAATCTGCAAAGGAACTTTTTGCTTATGGTGGTACAGAACCTTTACCGACCCTAGGAACGTTCACGGCAGATGTCACGCTGGCTGGGTTTGAAAACGGAAGTAATGCTGATTTTGTAGTGGTTGAAGGCGATGGTCGCACGCTGTTGGGCCGAGAGACTGCCGAGGCGCTAAACCTGTTGCGTATTGGTCCTTTTCAGACAAACAGTGTTGACGGTGGGCGATCGGACGGGGATGTCAGAGAGAAATACAAGCACTTGTTTAGTGGTGTTGGTCTTTTGAAGGGCTACGAGCTTAAGCTACACATTGATGAGTCGGTGAAGCCTGTAGCGCAGCATGTACGCAGGATACCGTTCGGGTTACGCGAGAAAGTGGATGCAAAGCTGGATGAACTTTTGGAGCTTGACATTATAGAGGAAGTGCCGGAGGGGCCGTCAGGATGGATTTCGCCGTTGGTGGTGGTTCCCAAAGGCGATGGCGACGTAAGAGTCTGTGTTGATATGCGTCGTGCAAATGAAGCAATCGTCCGAGAGTGTCACCCAATTCCAACCGTTGAGGAGCTGTTACACGACTTGAATGGCAGTACGGTGTTCAGCAAGATAGATCTCAAGTGGGGTTTTCACCAGATTTTACTCAGTGAGGAAAGTCGCCACATCACTACCTTTGTCACGTATCGAGGGCTTTATCGTTACAAGCGGTTGATGTTTGGCGTAACGTCGGCGCCGGAGAAATATCAGCAGATCATTAGAGATGTGTTAAGGGGTTGTGCTGGGGTTGCGAACATTGCGGACGATCTCATTGTTCATGGGTGTGACGTGGAGGAACATGACAAGCGTCTTTTTGCGGTGTTAGATAGGCTGAGTGAAGTGGGGTTGACGGTGAACGGAGACAAGTGCGAGTTTAGATTGTCAAGGCTTACGTTCTTTGGTCACGAGCTGACTAGTGACGGCATAAACCCATCCGAAGAGAAGATTGCTGCTATAAGAGACGCTAGATCTCCCAAAGACGCAAGTGAAGTGCGATCGTTTACGGGTCTTGTCCAATATTCCGCTAAATTCATGCCTGACGTGGCGTCCGTGGCCAAGCCTATTCAAGAGTTAACCAGGAAGGGCATCGTGTTTCACTGGGGTAAAGAGCAGCAAACAGCCTTTGAGGAACTGAAGCGTCTAATCACCAAGGCAGAGACACTGGCTTATTTTAAGGTTGGCTGCAGAACGCGAATCATTGCCGATGCGTCTCCAGTTGGATTAGGAGCGGTTCTCACCCAGCAGCAGGGGGGAATGTGGAGAGTTGTCTCCTACGCGTCGAGGAGCCTAACTGACGTGGAACGACGCTACAGCCAAACAGAGAAAGAGGCACTTGCCTTGGTTTGGGCGTGTGAACGGTTCAACATGTACGTTTCCGGACAGAGCTTCGAGTTGGAAACAGATCACAAGCCTTTAGAGCGTGTCTACTCGCGCACCTCAAAGCCTTGCGCCCGAATAGAGAGATGGGTCTTAAGACTACAAGGGTACGATTTTAAAGTGGTGTACCGCCCAGGGAAGACAAATATAGCCGACGCGTTGTCCCGTTTGAACTCCTTGGATCAAGTGGACCATGGAGAAGACTACGACTTTGTCAGAGCCATTGCTATAAGCTGTATACCCGTTGCTCTATCACCTACAGAAGTTGAAGAAGCTTCCTATTTTGACGAAGAATTGACGATAGTAAAGAGTTGCGTGAGGTCAGGGGACTGGGACCGGTGTACACTTCCCTCGTATGCACAAGTCAAGGACGAATTATGCGTCTATGGTGAGCTATTGCTTCGCGGCACAAGGATTGTGGTTCCCAAGCTCCTGCGCAACAGGGTGGTGCGGCTGGCACACGAAGGGCACCAGGGTATAGTGAAGACGAAGTATCGGCTCCGTAGTAAAGTTTGGTGGCCGGGAATGGACAAGGAAGTTGAGAAATTTTGTAAAGTTTGTCATGGCTGCCAGGTCACTTCTGGATTTAACCCTCCTGAGCCGATGTCCCGCGTTCTTCCTCCAAGTGCTCCTTGGCAGGATTGTGGAGCAGACCTGCTGGGACCCCTACCCACAGGAGAGAGTGTATTGGTGGTGATCGATTACTACAGTCGTTTCTTAGAAGTTGCTATTCTGAAGTCTACAACAAGTGCCAAGGTCATCGAAGCACTTGCACCCATGTTTGCCAGATTCGGTTTTCCGTTCTCTTTAAGGACAGATAATGGGCCCCAGTTCGTATCCGAAGAATTTGAAGCATATTTACGCACAAATGGTATTGAGCACAGGAAAACGACGCCGTTGTGGCCTCAAGCTAATGGAGAGGTGGAACGTCAAAATCGCTCGTTACTTAAATGTCTACAGATTGCACATTTAAAAGGAAAGAACTGGAGAACTGAATTGCTTGTATGGTTGATGGCGTACAGATCCACTCCGCAAACGACGACGGGGACTACCCCCTGTTACATGATGTTTGGCCACGAGGTTAGGTCCAAATTGCCAGAGTTAAGGAGAGAGACGGTCGGGGTGCCAGGCGAAGAAGTGCGAGAGCGGGATTGGTCAAGTAAATTAAAGGGCAAAGCTTATGCAGATCTCAAGAGAGGTGCCACGCCCAAAAGCATACGTGTTGGTGACACGGTACTTTTGAAAGCCGAAAAAACGAACAAGCTGTCTACCAACTTCAACCCTGCTCCTTTTAAGGTGGTTCAGAGGACAGGAACAGAGGTAACGCTTAGGAACGAAGCTGGTGTGCAACTGACAAGGAACACTGCGTTCGTAAAGAGGTACAACGAGCACAACGGTGTATCCAATGGCAACGAAGACCAAGTGGTACAAGCAAGTTCTACAGTACAGACAGATGAGCCAGGGCCAAGCAGAGTTCCGGAGACGACAGAGGTATCAGGGCCAAGCGGAATTCCAGGGACTACAGGAGTATCTGAAAATTCCCAAGTACAAGCTGGGCATTCTACCGAAAAGGAAGATAACGCAGCGGAAAGGCCTGTGCGGAGGTCGATCCGAACTATAAGACAGCCTGCGCGCTATAAAGACTTTGTCCTGGATGTTTAGGACTTCTTCTTTTTTTTTTTCCTGTTTTGTCTAGTTTAATTCAAAGACTGTTTTGCTGAACATTTAGGGTTTTTGCAGCCTTTAAAAAAAACTGCCTTCCTGCTAAATTTGATCAAAGAAGGGAATGTAGTGTATACGATGCTAATGCAAGCGCGTAGAAGCGAGAGAATGAATGTGATGTAATACACACGGGAATTACGTAATTTGCATGTACTATAGATAGCGTGCGTTGTAATTTATTCGAGTCGGTTAGCGTTCTGAGTTCGGAGTGTAACGGTCGTGAATAAAGTGTGTTTTAACCTAACCGCGGTACTACAAATACATATAGGAATTGTAAGGTTGCAAGGGAGCCCAGAAGAAACCAGAAGGCTTACGAAGCCTGGGCTCCCCAGTCTCAAAAAAATAAGCAAAATAAAATGAAATTTGCGGAGTGATACGTTAAAAATAGGAACTAAACAGAGACTGATGAGTTAAGTTATGAATTTAGTAACAAGATAGATAGACTCTGGATTGGAACAGAATACTTTCTTTTGTTAGTATAGCAGGAAGGAATATAAAATCGATTTGAACTACTAAACATTGTTTAGGGCCGCCATGTTGTTTTCACCAAGTCGAAGTGCATCACTTTAATCACCCGAAAATCAGCAATAATTCATTGATTCGAGATAAAAAATCCAACAAACACATCGCAAACGGACGTAGAAAGCTAGTTCATACCTTTAGTCATACCTTTAAAAGCGAGGCTGTACAATTTTTTGTCGCAAAAAACGTTACCGTAAATCACTTACCGCTGGAAGCCCTTCCTGTATGGTCGGCCATTTGTTTCAAAATAATAATAATAATAATAATAATAATACTTATATAGCGCCTATATCAATATTGCTATTTTCATCAGCGCTTAAAAATAAAAATATTAAACAAAAAACAAAAAACACTAAGACTGCATAAAGTATACATACAAAAAGTGCATGAACCTACCAAAAAGAGTAAAACAATTATGTCAACACTAAAACTATAAAAATTACCTAGACTACTTAAATCGTAAAAAACTGCATAAAACCTACTAAAACGAGATTAAAAAGCACATAAAATCACAAAAAAGCTTTCTGAAATAAAAATGTCTTGAGTGTCTTTTTAAAAGATGCTACTGAGGGGCTACTCCTAATTGAATAGGGCAATGAATTCCATAGTTGAGGAGCAGCAGCAGCAAAAGATCGATCTCCTAACATTGTTAAAGTCTTGAATTTCACAGGGTTTAGTAGCAGTCCATCACAATCGGGGCGTAACTTGTATTTACATGCTTCTTTAAGACTAATACGTTCCTGGAGATAAAAAGGCGCTAAGCCATTGATAGCCTTATACGTTAACAATAATAACTTAAAGTCAATTCGGAATTTAACCGGCAGCCAGTGCAGATTATACAGCAACGGTCTTACATGGCAGGATTTAGATTCCAGGGAAATTAACCTAGCGACAGCATTTTGGACCCTCTGTAAGTTTCTGTAGCTTATTAAGCTGGTAAGCTGGCAGGCCATAGAGCAAGCTGTTACAATAGTCGACACGACTTAAGACAAATGCGTGAATGAGCGTCTCAGTGGACCGCCTAGAAAGATGTTTCCTTATTCTTCTTATATTATACAAGTAATAAAAAGCATTGGAGCAAGTGTTATTTACATGAGAATTCATTGAAAGAGTTGAGTCTAACCAGGTCTCTAAGTTTTTAACTACCCCTTTTGGTCTAATTACACGGTCTCCAATTAAAATATGATCAATATTAACCTTGGCTAGTTGTTGCTTGATACCAATCATTAGGAATTCTGTTTTATCGTCATTGACAAGTAGTTTATCATTGGTCATCCAATTACGTATATAATCCACACAGTGCTGTATAGCAGTGATAGCCTCAAATTGCCTGGTGCTTATGTTTGGACTGAAAGACACATACAACTGCGTGTCGTCAGCGTAGCAGTGAATCGTGGGAAGGAGCACCGTGATAACATCAAACAATTTGCTTGCATAAATCTTGAAAAGCAATGGCCCGAGGCAAGAGCCCTGCGGTACTCCGAAGTCCAAATTCAAACTCTGAGATAAATTTCCTTGGACCATAACACGCTGAGATCTTCCATTAAGGTAGGAACGGAACCATTCGAGTGCCGTTCCAGATATACCAAATTTTGAGTGATGCCGACTGAGTAAAACATTGTGATCCACAGGATCAAATACCGCACTAAAATCTAACAAAACCAGTAGTGTTACATGCTGTTTGTTCATGTTCAACAAAATGTCATTTTTCACTCTCAGCAACGCTGTTTCTGTGCTATAGTTCTTCCTATAAGATGACTGATTGGCAGGGTAAAGATTGTTCATGCAAATGTGACCATGAGTTTGGTTATAGACGGCTGACTCTGTCAGCTTCGAAACAAATGGTAAGTTACTAACGGGACGAAAATTCTTGAAGAGAATGTCGAGGCCAGGTTTTTTAAGTAACGGTAAGACTAAAGCCTCCTTCCAGGCGACAGGAAATTGACCAGACTTTAAGGACATATTGATTAATCTTGTAAGTACAGGAAGTAGGACATCACATCGGCTGAACAAAGTTGAAGGCATAGGGTCAAGAGCACAAGATTTTAGAGACAAATGCTGCATAAGAGACTTCACATCTTCTTCCGTTAACATCTTAAATTCAGTGAGGTGGACGAAAGACGACTCAATGCCCTCTATGTCGGGTTTATGATAGTTTACAGCACTATGACAATCGAGGCGACCCCTAATATGCACTATTTTCTGTACAAAAAAACTTCCCAGTGTCCTCGGCGAATTGAGCCCTATCAATAGTGGGAGGTAGAACGTCGGAAGATCCTCTGTTTAGTAAGCGATTACTAGCGGCAAACAGCTTCTTTTGAACCCCGCTGTTCTCCTCAATGAAATTAGAGTAAAATTCCCTACGAGCCTTGTTCATCAGAGCAGTTGCTGCATTCCTCTTTACCTTGAAGGCAGCTAGGTCAGAGTCTAATCTAATTCTTCTCCATCTCTTTTCAGCCCTTCTTCTTTCACATTTAGCCGTCTTAATCTCCTCATTGAGCCAAGGCACACGAGGTCTCTCTTTGATAGACCTGGTAAATCTTCCAGGACTTCAGGTGGATTTCTGCATAAATCAGTGGCAGTCAGGTCGGACTGGAGGGAATTCAAGTCGATAGATTTAAGCTTTCTGTAGGAGATAGTCTTCTCTAATAAAGATGGTTTTATTAACTTGAGACTGAACAAAACCGTACCATAATTATGACACGATATTATACTTGCAATCATTTCTGCTACACGATATACGTGCGCTTTTTTGCCACGTATACTTGCGTTCTTTCCTGCTATGTGGGGTCTTTATTCCCAAGTGTATGACCATTTTCTTACAAACGCGCATATATATGCGGCACATAAAAGCCCATATATATTCATTCTCGTCCCCAGAGCCACTCGGCTTAATTTGTAACCGAAAACGACGGGCTCTGGGGACGAGAATGATATATATTCGTTACAAACAAGCATGCGTATATGGGGTCACAGAAAGTCGTCGTATAAGAGGCAACGAATTATACCGTCAGCAAAAAACTCCTTCATGTACGATGGAGCTGAAAAGTAACTTCAGTTTGAATTCAGCATGGCCGCAATGGCCGCGTTTATCTCGAGCAAGGTTTGGTTCTTATTCATTGCCCTCACAGTAGTGGTGGTTGTTGGCTCCCCGACAACGGATTTGTTGGAATCCGTGGATTGTCTCTTGAGAGACTGTGTACGCCATTTCACGAATGCTGACCGAAACAACGATCGATTCTGTTAGAAATGAGCGTCTGACAGGCCAAACACGACTCATGTGATAATGTGAAAGATGACCTTGAGAGTCTGCTTGAACCGATCGGTTTTTCTTCTTTTCTCTCTCGCGCGAATTATCACCTTTTCTCCTCCACGAACACGTTCTAAGCCTCCTAGTCTCAAAGCTTTTTATTCTTTTCCTCCATTCACTCTATAAATTCCATGTTTCTTGTTTTGTATTCTCACACTTCAATAGCCTTCCACCTGCCTCTCTTTCCTTGCTCGTCCACTTTCATCGTGATTTTCATGATTATCTAACTCGTTCTCGTTCAACTTGCATAAAATGTCCCTCAGGTATCACTTTGCTACTAGTTCTCAAGCCCCGATTACTATATTTAAAAGGATATTTTATTTATAACTTCAGTTTGGCGTTTTCTGGCAGCCAATGGCAAATAAGTATTTTCGATTATAGCCATTAGTATTTAAACAGCTAGTTTCGCTCTCTGCACCAAAGACTTTACCATAGTAGCAACCGACGAGGAACTGCATTCTTGCAGGATTCATAACATTCGCATAGACACAACAGTAAATTCCTACGAAGGAACAACAAGACATCCCACTTTAGTTTAAAGACTCACTTCTGATCCCCCCAAAATTAAATGGACTGCATCAGGCTATCAGCGGTGAGAGAATGATCTTGACTCACGCAGAGCATAATTCTGCATACTTGGCCGGTAGCTTTAGTTTAAGCTACCGTGTACAACTCAAATCTGAAGGTCTCACTATCCGTGAAAATTCAAAATCCTTGAAACAACACTTATGAGCTGGGCCCAGCGTCATACTGACATGGCAGCCCAGGAGGGGGGGGGGGGGTTTGGGTACTCAACCAATTTTTATACGTCGGAGGCCCACCCCTAAACCTTTTACATACCATTTTTCACGATTTCGTATACCTTCTATTGACAAATGGTACTCCTTTCACATACCTTGCTTAGAACTTTGTATCCGTTTTAACTGCGGGAAACCCGCACTGTCATAAAATAGGAATCAGTCAGAAATTTAGAACGCTTTCTCGACGGGTAAGGGGTTGGACCTCGGAGCGGAGCCTCCCAGTACAAATATTTGTTGAGTACCTCTCCGGGATTTCGGGTGGAGCCTCCCCGTATAGGCCATCATAGGGGGTACCCTCCCCCCGGGCACAGCAGGAAATAATCACATTCCCGGACAAAGAAACTTACATGCATGCATGTAGTTATTCCGCAGATCCAGGATTTACGGAGAAAGCCATACAAACTTAAATTTTTATTTAGCCGTAATACTAAATTAAATCTGTAGGCTTAAACAGAGGTCAAAGAATGCATCTGAGGTCAACTCCTATCACTGTTTCGGCAACAAGACTGTGGAATAGTACACCAATTGAAATTAGGAAACTAGATTCTGTAGCATGTTTTAAAAAGAACATGTTTGCAAAGATTTTTAAGGAACAACAATGTTTGCATCATTTTATCATTTAATATTTTATTTTTTTATTTTTTTTCATATAAAAATCGAATCTTGTTTTATTTTAAATGTTTATATATTTTAGCTTACAATATTTATTAGATTGTAAATAGTTGTGTATTTTATGAGGGCCACAAGTTTATTAGCCTTTGGCTATTAGGTGCTACCCTCTTTAAATAAAGGCTTTACTTACTTACTTACTTACTAACACCTAAAGAACCATAAACCACAGGAGATGATTACTCAGTATGCATGAAATTCTCTGTAGTGCTAGTAACTTTAACTTTAACTTTATTATTCCTTCGTTCATATAGTACAAACTCAGTAAAGCCAAAACCGGGGGCTTATACGATCTGTGGTCAAGATGACAGAAATTATTTATGTAGAAATGAAGACTGAAGGCTAAATTACAAAACTAAAACAAGATACAAAACTTAAATTAAGTAATGCAAGCAGTACTAGTGACAACTAAACTAACAATAAACTATGATAATCCTGCGCTAATTCAATTCAGGCTTAAAAAGTAAAGTTTTAGTTTCTTTTTAAAATCAGTGGTGGTTACAGGCTGTTACGGACAGTCAAGGGGATATCACTGGGATAGCCTTGGCCAAATAATCGGGGCTTGGGAACTAATAGCAACAAGACGCTACGGAGCGCACACTTCGGCGTTGTGGTTGAGCAACTGATTAATTGTAAATGCGGAGGAATAGTAAGAAATGAAACATGGTAAGAGTAAGGTGTTAATGTCGGATTAACACAAGGAAGTTTAATACCAAAGGAACATAGCCTTTTCAGCCAACACAAACTTGACTTGAACTTAACTACAACTGAACAGCCTCTACCAATAATAACAAACTCTCACTTGAACTTCAGATATCTTACGGCTTCCGCCAACTTGTAAACACAGAAATTGAAAACCGACCTTCGTCACGCTTGACTAAACACAGCAGTCCAGCTCGTGAGAAAAAAACTTAGTTCGTCAAAACACCTCGATTGGAAATTGTATACCGTTTGACATAAGGTTCTAGAAAATACTAAACGGGCGAGTAGTAGTAGCTTTTCGACATATTTTATGATTTCAGTAACTGATGCAAATCTGCTGACTCATGCTGAATGTAAACATGCCCTAATTAATTATTCATAAATAATCCAAAAAAGTAGAGAACGTTCGAGAAAGTCACGCAACGCATGAAAGCAATTTTACTACGTAACACTCAACAAAGACAAAATGTCTTTGTGCAGCATTTTGTAACTTTAAATTCATCATCAAGCAGTTCGAAAGGAGGGCTCACTCGTGAAATGTTTTTCACCACTAGAAGAGAAATTTCGTGTCTCTGCGCGGCCACGTAATATCCTCTATTCATTCCTCGAGTAAATTAAAGACTGAACTCGAAGTGATCTCAAGATATCACAAAGTAGTCCGGTTTCGTTTCGTGAAATAGCCGAAACAAGCCGAAAAGTCGCGAACTTGCACGCCCAATCTTGTCCCGAAACTAGTGCATAATTTCATAACTATTTTTCATATCCAGAACTACCTTGGGTCGCAGTAGCGCAATCGACTAATCCCTCAACTTAGAGTCTCCTCTGATCTGACGGGTCACTGAGGTGAGTCGGTTCAAACCCCGGGGAAGCCAAAATAATAATTCTTTCTTCCTCGAAAAAGTTAAAGAATAAATCAAAGAAATCGAAGTGATCTCGAGATATCTCGAACTAATTCGGCTCTCACTTCGTCAAATAGCCGAATAAAACCGAAAACCTATAAACTTTGCATGCCCAATCTTGTCAAAAAATGGCGAATCCTTCACTTCGCGCTCCGCCGAAGTAGAAATTGATACCTGAGGGACATTTTATGCAAGTTGAACGAGAACGAGTTAGATAACCATGTAAATCACAATTAAAGTAGCCTCCCCGCAGACGTCCTTTGGGGTTCGTTTGTCACGCATTCTGGGGGAGAAGTGAAAAGTTCTTGCTTTATTGAATCCCCCAGAATGCGTGACAAACGAACCCCAAAGGACGTCTGCGGGGAGGCTACAATTAAAGTGGAGGAGCAAGGAAAGAGGTGGACGGCTATTAAAGTGTGAGAATACAAAACAAGAAACATGGAATTTATAGAGTGAATTTAGGGAAACTAAAAGAAGCTTCGAGATTAGAAGGCTTAGAACGTGTTCGTGGAGGAGAAAAGGTGATAATTCGCGCGAGAGAGAGAGAAAAGAAGAAAAACCGATCTGTTCAAGCAGACTCTCAAGGTCATCTTTCACATTATTACACGAGCTTATGAGACGTGTTTGGCCTGTCAGACGCTCATTTTTAACTGAATCGACTGCTGTTTAGGTCAGCATTCGTGAAATAGCGTACACGGCCTCTAAAGAGACAATCCGCGGATTCCAACAAATCCGTTGTCGGGGAGTTAACAACCGCCACCAGTGTGAGGTGGTTTGAAATTAACGCGGCCATTGCGGCCATGCTTAATTCAAACTGAAGTTACTTTTCAGCTCCATCGTACATGAAGGATTTTTTTGCTGACGGTATAATTCGGTGCCTCTTATACGACGACTTTCTGTGACCCCATATACGTATGCTTGTTTGTAACGAATATATATGGGCTTTTTTGTGCGCATATATATGCGCGTTTGTAAGAAAATGGTCATATACTTGGGAATAAAAACCCCACAAAGCAGGAAAGAACGCAAGTATACGTGGCAAAAAAAACAAAGCCACAAAAAAGGAAACCGGGGGACACTGGAGAGAGTGGTAGGTGAATGAGAGGGGAAAAAAGAGAAAGAGGAGGATAGAAAAAGATAGAAATTGAAATCCTCTTTTATCAACACAGTAAGTATTCATTACCGATGTATATATGCAATACTCCCCATTGTCTTAGAGGACAATAAGACGGATGCATAATTAATGACACAGAACGCATAATTATTTAATGTATGGGGTTATACGGAAATTTTTCCCATTTATTAACTTCCAAGAAAATTATCAAACTGCCGAAATATATTTCTACACATATCATGTTATTCCACTCAATAAAACAATAATATAATTATTTTGTCAACTAGCTTCTTCCAATTTAATTCCCTGACCGCTACTGTTTCGACTCAAGTTACGCATCTTTACTAATAAAATAAAAGTGATACCTTTCCATAACTATAATAAGTCTTAAGCAGCAAGCGTGTATCATGTTCCTCACCTAATTCATGTTTTTTTGGCAGGTACGAAAAACGTCTGTTGAACTTTGTAAGCGAAAGAATAAAGCTTAAAGCTTATTTACAAAATTAACAATACTCGCCTTGCCTTTCAAACTTCTAAAACAACAATTTATAGGCCGCAAACTTCCGAGTTACAGTCCATATCTAAATTTCAGTTATTGTTTTCTTGGAAAAACGTTGAAAAAAATATGATCTTTTATACTCTACCTTGAAGCACGGAAAAACGTGTGTTGTACCGTTCGCGATAGCCGAATTAGGTCAAATGTGTTGAAGCAGCAGCCGCACTAAAATATGCACCCCTCAATAGCTCCATCACTGTACTCAGCGTTTGAATCATGAAGATATTTCAATGTTACGCTTCTAAAAACCTTTAGCCCGTAATAAAAGACGTAAAAATTGTGAAGAATCAAGATGGCGGTCTCTAAGTACGCTTGTTTGACCTTAAGCAATCATTAATTGTTAGATGCCAAAATCTCATTGGTTCTTACGCATCAACTCATAGTACCTTCAACCTTATTGGCCCCTGCGACAAACATCCGAACATACAAAGCCACAAAGCCACAAAGATACATACAACCAAACCACTGACATATGAGCTATTTTTTCAAAATACCTCAAAACCCAATCTGCATGAGATGTACAGTCACGCATCAGGCACGTGAAAGTGTTGGACTTTGCCCCCTTCCGTGAAAGAATTCGAGTTATCACACAGTAATCTAGTAAACAGGATTAGAAAAATAACTAATGCACTCAATTTGCACGTGAAGATGTTGGACTTTACGAGATTACTTTGCTCAAACGATCATCTAACATGTGCAATAAAATTATGTATCATTTAATGTTAAGATTGATACCTTAACATCATTACTTTACTTCAACAGAATTGTCAAATTGCTGAAATACTGATTTCTAATCATTCCACTCAATGAAGACCTCTGGAAAAATTCATCTAGAAAAATTATAGGTGGTCCTCAAGTGTAGTCCATCGACCGGGTTCACGAAAGGGGTCCATGGACTAGGTCCACAGATGAAGTCCATGGACCGGGGTACATGTTTTGTATACGTCCTTTGAAAATTCTAAGTCGTTTTAGAATTTTAACTACATTCTTTTCGGTTTTCTTTAACTGTTTGTCAATGAACATTAGGGCCATTTATACGAGGAAAAATAAGACGCGTCTTACATAAGACGCGAACTTTCCGTATAAACGGTACATTTCGTCTAAAATAAGACGCGGCTTAGCTAAGACGCGTCTTATTAGATAAGACATACTCGTATAAAATGGTACAGTTCGCGTCTTATCTTTCCTCGTATAAATGGCCCTTGTATTGTATTGTATTGTATATGTATTCATAATAATTGATTGTAAATTGTTTGACTTTGCCAGTATTCATCAACCCATTACAATATTCACTGACCAGATACAAATGCTGATAGCAACAGTACTACCTACAATACAAGTGACAGAATCCAGAACTCTTACCTTCAGCGAGTGTCTGAAGTCACAGTATACCCACACTTCTTGCTGGGCTTTCTAGAAAAAAACAGCTGGGATTTTTTATTGGGCAGTTGTTACATCATACATAATGAGGCACCTTAAGACAAATCTTCAAATGATACCTATTGAAGATTTGAAGTTCTAACTGTGTTTACTCAGAAGAGTGCAATGGGACTTTTAAGTACATACTACCATTACTTGCATATAGGAAGTTTTAAATAAACGCCGCCTGTAACCTGTAAAAAAGGGCCGCATGGACAAGACATAATATTTAATTCATAATTAAAAAATTAATTATAAAATATTATTTGATTTGAAAATTAAATATTCAAATTCAATATTCAAGGATCGTACCTGAGTTTAGAAATAGAAAAAGAAACTTTTTGTGGTGTGATCTCCTACTCCGTAAAGCAGGCGCATGAAATTAGGAGGATTCATGTTGTAGTCGTGCAACGATGGTTAAAAGTTGGTGTACTACTAATATAATCTTATTGCTTTTTTGCCGTTCTCGTTGCCGTCGCCTTCGTTGTTGCCTAAGGTCCCTTTTGTTGAGATGCAAAAATTTTGCTACCATGGTAATGTGACGTCACACTTCTCATCTCTATTGGCTATAGCGAATTAATACCATAATATTCTTTAAATTTCCGTTTGGGTGGCGCGCCCATGTAAACCCGACTTTTGCTTCTCTGCAGGACTTGCACGTGCAGTTCGTGCAAAAAACAAGTAAAGTAAAGTAAGGTTTATATGAAGAGCCACCCAAATGACAGTTTATGGTATTTTCCGCTCAGGCCAATTATCTGTTTTTTGAATCGGAAGCAACACACAGCAGTAAAAAAATTAACATGGCTCCTGCATGTAGCAGGAGTATGAGCATAAACTACTGGCGGATATTTAAAAAATGTTGAATATGAAAACCTCTGTTTGGAGGAATTCATACTGTTTGCAAAGCCATAGTGTACTTTTGAATTGGCACAATTGCCAATCGCATTCGTTTTCAGAATAAGCATGTTCAGGCACTAGACATACTTGTTCCCAAAATTAGAATTGACAGCTCGCTCTGCCTCTAAACAATTCCCTGTTAAAATTCTAAGATTTGAAAGCTGAATTCTGGAAGACTTTCTAGTCATGGACTTCTGCTTTAACGATTTGTCTGAAGTTTATTTGCCATTATACTTACTATATATCAGCAAAAGCTTTCATACAAAAAATTTCAGCCAAAAATATATTCAGCAAAATTTTTCTCTAGACACTATTTCCTTCAACGTGAAGGGTCCACTTACACCTAATCTCGTAAAAATGTTAATCAGCAGTAGAATCAAATTGTAAATGACATCACAACAAAGCTTTATTGATTTAGTTGTATGATATCTCTCGCCTTAAGCTTTTCTGATTTGCTAGTTTCATTTCCTTAGACAACGCCTATTTTTACGTAGAAAACGCATGGTCTCTTAACTTAAGCTTTAGTTGGATTTTGTCGTCTTCATGTGTACATCGTTGTAGTCTATTTGGATAGTTCATTTCTTGGTACTTTAGAGGCAAGCGGGAACTGATATTTAAGTACATTTTACCTTCTGTAGTTTTGTCTACCTGGCGACTAATAAAGTTTAGTAAAATTCATTATCAATGCTGCGTTCTGATTGGTTGAGCTACTACTAGGCTATATGTTATAGCCCACTAGTAGCGAAGAGCGCCGGATTTTTGGCGGTCAAAAGGGATTTACGTCTAGCTTTAACCAGCTAAAAGTTGTTTTGTCTCGGTATTTTTGACCAACTAGTTGGATTTTACTAAAACAATTATTCCTCGGCCTCATGGGCTATTGACTCAGAGCCCATTCGGGCTCGAGGAATAATTGTTAAATATTCCTGCAAGAACTTATTGTAATACACAGTATATCGCACCATTACGTGACTGCGCCTTTTTGAGTTTCAAGTAGGTTTTACCTTTAGTTCTGCGTGGGAATTTCATTTCTCATTAGTTTATTTAGTTTTCGTGCCTTTGCAAACGTAGTCCGTTCTCAGATTTATTTTGTTAGTTTCTTAGTATAGTATTCGCAGGAAGCAACCATTATTGTTTTGGCAAAGTTTCTTTACTCCTGCATACCCAAATTTAAGTTGATTTTATTCCTTTCATGCAGTATATTTATTCTAATATTCTAGTTGGTAAATTTATTATTCCTGTATTTCAACAAGTATATTTCTTTTGTCTTATTACACGTTTTTGGCAAGGTTTTTATACCGGAACAGCTACAAAAATGAAAATAAGATTGGAATGTTAGTAATATGTCATCTGTTAGCCATACCATAATTGTAATTTAGCTTTTAGTAATTATTTGTTACGTTGCATTTTATTTCAGTTTACGGTTCGATTATCGTCAATAAAATCACCATCAAAGACTAGCTCCTAGTTTCGAGATCATAGTTGATTCATGATCGACCAGTAAAATATACCCGCTCACACGGAGTTTCGCCACCACAAATAGTTTTAGCCGCGTGACAATTGGCTTGTTCTACAGTAGCCTGTGCCAGGCTCTCAGATAGTATAGTGGAAACGTATTAATATCCCCAGCCCCCGCGCGTTTTTCGCCTTTCTTATTACTGAACGACTTTTCCCTTTCTTATTACTGAACGACTTTCCACCACCATCTCGGAGCCTGGAACAGGCTAGTTCTACAGTCGCAGCGTATCATCCGTAACACAAATTATTTCATATTACTGCCGGCCGAATGACAGACAGCTGTGGTTCTTCTCAAAGTTTTGTAGCCACGGCATTGAAACTGCCAAAGTTACCGTATTTCCTTGAATAATAGGCAGGGGCCATTATTAGTTTTTTCGCACCAAAAAAGGGCGATTTTTCGAAGGAAAGCGATTATTTGAGGGAGGCGATTATTCAAATATTGCTCACTGGAAGTCGTACCCTAAATATTTTGTTTTATTATCCCATTAAATATAAAAAGACAATCACATCGAATAAACTGAATATGGACTTTTTAAGTGTTCCAAAATTCGTTCCTTGATTAATTTTGAATTACAATATCCTCGGCGTCAGAGCTTGAATGGTGATTGATCAGTTTTGCTGATGGCTATTATTCGATGGCTATTATTCGAGGAAATACGGTATGACATAAAATGTCATAGCTTAATGCACCTGGAATAAGAACAGAGCAACCATAGCACCTTGAATTTCAGGTCTGTAGGTCCAGTGGTTCAAGTCTGACATCCCATTATGTTATTGCCTTAGACAAGAATGATTTAACGACTGGCCCTAAGGGGAACAAGTCCTAAGTGGGGCAAGTCCTTAACTGCTTAACTTTTATCTCCAAAATTAAAAAAACATATCACTATATAAATATTTTATTTAGATTTTCAGCTTTGGGCTGACCGGCACATAAATTTCCTGCAGCAGTTTCAAGGTACTCAACCAGATTGATCATTTATCCCATGCGCGGTAAGGAGTTTGTGAGTTTTTTTTCCACCCTAGGTAACAAAGTGCGTTTGAGTTGAGTTTAAAAAAGAACTTTGTTTGACCATGTCTTCCTTCACAAAATACTGTTAAGGGTTTAAACCCTGCAATGGACTAGCTAGCATCCCATCCAAAGCGGACTAACTGCAATACATGTAGTTTTAGGTGCTTCATTTACCACTTAAAAAAACAAGAAGGACTTCTGGGACTGTTACTGGCGACATTTTGGCTCAAGTTCCCTTCTCGTTTCTAAACTAGTGAATGCTACAGAAACCAGCTGTGGCTGTGTGCTGGGCCTGCTGTGGCCACATGTGTGCATGTGTGTTCCTTTAACATACATGTGTGAAAACTGAATAGGTTTATAAACCTGTAAATATACTAAATCTGCAAAGCAGTGGAAAAAATTATTTTAGGTGTCAGTAAAAAAATTAGAATTATATAATTATGACTTTATGCAAAATCACACAAATGACATTTACTTACTCTTGCTGTTTGGTTACAAAAAGCAAGGGCAGTTAAAAGTAGTAAATGTATGAGTAAGGGCTCATTTCTCAAGCAGTTGCTACTGGTAACTGAGCCTATGGAAATTACCATAGCATTAACGCAAAGAATTACAAAGAATTATGCCTGAGAAAAAGAATGTTGAAATCAAAGATGAGTTTAGGCCTCCATGATATGATTCTGTGCTGAAACCAACCTGAAATTTCCCATTGCAGTGAGGAAGACGTCCTTCTCTCATCAGTGAACACACCTTCTTCCAAACCTGATCCACTGTTACTTTATTCTCTGTGGTAAAAAACAGCAAAACTTCCCCATTAATTCCTTTTTGATCATCATTATGCCATCAACAGGATTTAACCACAAGGGTAAAATTTGGTATAGTGTGCCACACAGGCCAGCTTCTTTAAAAACTTGTTGTAATTAATTATCCACGTTAAAGCCTGTTAGCTCCCTAAATACATGCAGAGGAATGGCTTTTGAACATTCTACAGGAAAGATAATTGTAAGTTACAATAGAACAATTGAAAATGAAACATAGACAAAAAGTTATCAAAAAGATGTAGTCATCATGTCAGTGACATCTTGACAAGGACAATTGACACTGTTGATGGTCACTGGCAGCTTGTACGAAGCTTGCGTGGATACCTTCAGATGGAAAATTTTGTTAAAATTATGATTTTTGGCTCATAGAATTAGGATTTAGTGTGATCTTTGCAAGGAAGAAAGAAAATTGGAAAAGACTGAGTGTTGGCAGAGAAATGACCATTTTTCATCTGTATTGATCAGAATTAAAAGTTACTCTTTTGATTGACAGCCTAATGGTGTTTTTCACAGGAATTTCCATGAGGCTGGTGGATGAATATCAGGAATGCGTTTCCTTAAGTTAGCGACTCAACGCAGCATTGTTTTTTTATTGTCTATGTGGCCAGAAATGATTAAAATGTCCATGTCCAAAGTGAAGGGCAAAAGGGAATATCAATGAAAAATGACTTAACAGTTAGCCTTGCCACTTCAGATAAGTCAGATAAAGGATCTTACTTCCAAGACTGGTCTGAAGACAGTGAATACGACCTGGAGTTCAATGAATCCATTGGTTCAAGCCAGCAGAAAAATGAATCAAAAGAGCAGAAAGGGTCTAAAAAATTCAGGAACATATTAAGCATTGTCAGGTCCCACTTTGTTATGCTGAAAAAGTGAAAATAAAATTGTAATGAAGAAGGCAACCCATTGCATGTAACCATAATTTCAGACTGTATAATTTGTAAAGAAGAATATTAAAGAAGCAACAACAATAAATTTCTTAAACAAATTTTTGATAGGCAATTGACAAATATAATAACAGCAAATATAAAGAATGTTTCGGCCATTTGTCTTAGCTGAGTGGAGTGCTTCATGTTTACTTAGAGTAGTCCCATTGCTAATAAAATTATTTCATCCTTTTTTCTATGTTAATAGTTGGCTCAGTGGAAGCCACAAAATTGTCTTTTCTTCTTTTCCATCATCTCACTGGTTTGGTTTTCTACCGAGCAGTGGCTGCAGTCTTTCATAATTTCCACAGCCTTGAAAGTAATCTCACTATTGATCCCAATACAAATGTGGCTAAAGTAGAAAAGCGAAGTTGTTCAAAAATAAAAATAGCACAAAAATTCAAAGTGCCCAGACTCCTGAGAAGTATTTGTGGGCCAAGTTTGTTTATGAAGAGAGGGACTTTCTTAATTGCCTTCTTCTTTACTTATATTTTTCGCTCAGAGGGGACACTTTAACAAGCCAAGACTTTGACGGAATTTGTTTGATTGACCTAGGATTTTGCTTTCAAAAGCTGATTCGGACATTCGCAAAAATCCTAAAAAAATCAACAGTACAATTTTTCAAAAAACAGGTGATTTATTAGGAAAGGCTTTAATTTGATATAAGGTTTTAAGTATTTGCAGCTTGATCGGAATGCACTACAACTCTTGCGTGTAAGACACCCCTGAAGGTATTACAAAAAAATTACCAAAGTTCCTACTTTGGCATTTGTGCAACAGGTAGCCCAGTAATCATGGGACAGAAACCCACTTTCAGCCTGTGCACCAAATTTAAACTGCTCTGTGATTGGGAAGAATATGGAATCAGAGAGAATCTGTCATGTAGTGATGAGAAAATGGTGTTGGAGATAGAGAGTAAGGAGGGGGTTAAGACACATGACTTAAGCTTGTACAATCAACCCAAAAAGACAAAATTCAATAAAACCAAAATAATAGAACAAACCAAAAAGGCAGAACAAAATGTAAATTTCTAGAGGCCAATTCATTTTAGCAAATTCAGTTAAGTTATACAGTATATTCACAGATATTTTTTTGGATGTTACTGATGTCTACATTAAATTCATGAATTCATGACACTGCCTGTCCACATCTGCCTTACATCAGCTGATTTCCTCCCCCTATAACTAGGTTTTTCACCAATAAGATTAATTGCTTGATGGCAAAAGCATACAAGTGGCCATTAATGAGAGGACATGGCTGTGAGCAGAAATTTTTAGCTGTACTATGTTTAGTTGATAATCATCAACAAACCAGTTTTTCTCCACCCTAGTTATGAATTAACTTTCAAGTGTACCTTTTAAGGAGACTACCCCTCTACTTATGATCCACTTGCCACGCTGACAGTCATTCACTCTGTACTTCTCCTTCACTTGATCCAGAATAGTTTCTCTAAATTTTGGCAAAGCAAGGTCCATTATTTTCCTGTCCTTTGTACAGATTTGAGGACTGGCACACCAATGCTACAAAAAATATAACATATTTTATATATTAATAACATCCTCAAAGTATCTTTTTTTAAAGTATAGCCAAATTCATTGTATCACGTATGCTGCGCGTTTTGCAAACTTCGAAGGAATTTTGAGTTTTTCTATTCTGTCAATCATAGTAGCGGACCTCTTAGGAAACACATGTTTACTTGTGATTGGTGCATTTCGATACAATTTGTTTGTTTCTGTGTTTCACGGTTCATTGCTTGTGATCACCCTCTTTTGGGCAATAATCGACTAGTTTTCTACAAGGATTTTTCTGATCTTTCTTATTCTTGTCTCTTGCAAGAATAAAGCATGTCTGCCTCCAGCCCTCTACAAAAAGTCCACTCATCATCGCGATTTCCTCCGCTATTCTTCAGCAGTCTAGAGTCATTCTCAGTTTTATTTTTGCTGGCCAAGCTGGATGAGTGCTTTGTATCATGATTTGCAGTAACTCTGCCCCCACTCAAATGATTGACGGAACAGAAAAACCCATTTGAAGTTTGCAAACACGCAGCGCTATACAACGAATTTGGCTATAAGACCAGCAAATATCTCTTATGGAAAGTATGCAGTTCAGCTGCTTATCCTAAAGATACCAGAAAAACCGATAGCTATCCATTAGTTTTGTAAATGATAACAAATTATCATTAGTGTACGTTTTCCCAAAGAAGAAAGTCACCTATCTTGAGGGCCAGGTTGGTGACCAGGCATGAAAATCTAGTTGCAACTGAGTACAAGCTGGTTGCATTGGCGACCCGACAGGTCGCAACATCGAGCCCTGTACAAGGCCATGTGCTTGATGCCCATAACTAGCTGAAGCTAGTCAACAGGGGCACAAGAGGAGAGAAAAGTCATTACAGAAAAAAAAAGTGAAGATCTCAAAGATCTTGAAAAGGGTTTTCTGTAATTTACTTTCAAACCAATTCTGATGGTACCCAGTTCCAAATCATTTATATGGCACCAAACATTAAAAGCAAATTATCGATGCTTTAATTTTTTGTTTGTTGTATGTACATAAATATTTTTATTGGTGACAGATTGAGTCCGGCAATTATGAACAAGTAATGTTTCTTAAACATATTCTTAATATTACCAGGAGCAATGTTTAAATGGTTGTCATACATTAAGATACTCATTTGCTCAAAGAATAATAACAAAATGGGTAGGCATTTCACTTAAGAAAGAAATTGTAACATTACATGCATTCTTGGATTGGCAAAAAACATGAGTCTATGGGCTAGTTTCTGTAAGACTAGCAATTTATGAAGATGTGTTTAGCAGCCTCAAGCCAAGCACACACTCTGTAATTTAAGAACACTGAGATCAAAGAGTGGTATACAGTAAGAAGCACTTAACTTCAGTTGACTAATTTTTTGGTGCATGAGGCTTGTTATCTTGTTAGTGTTTTTCATTTGTATAGAACAAAATTGCTAGCATGAACTCCGTGTTTTGAAGGTATAGTTTATAATTCTTATGTCGGGTGTCTTGAAAATAAAGACCCCAAAACTTGAAAACAAAGACCACCCAATTTTTTAATATCTTTTTTTATAGGGGGGGGGGGGGGCATTCTTGTACAATAATTGGAAAAGTTTAAATTAAAAGTTTAAGTCTTCTGTACTCTCTCATCGTTTTTGTCACCTCCCTGCGAAGTTGTCTTTTTCTGGGGGTGGAGTTTGTCTTTATTGGGGGGAGGGGGGGGGGAAGGTGGGGGGAGGGTGAGTGGGTGAGAGCTATGTTCAGATCTTCTTCGGAAATCGCCTTTTTTGGAAATCTCAAGTGGATCCTACATCGTTTCACGTACCATAAATGGCTTATCGTTGGATAGCTGGATTAAATTTAGCCTGGGTATCAGGCTTTTCTAAGGGAAAGGGGAAAAAAGAAGAAAGGCCTGAAGAAGATCCGAACATGGCTCCACGATTTCTAGGGACACGATTTTGTATTTCTCAATATTTAAGTCTATTTTCAAATTCCATCTCCCCCACCCACCCCACATCCCCACTCCCCTCAATAACGACAAACTCCACTGTCAGAAAAAGGCAATTTTGTGGTGAAGTGATAAAAAGGAGAGAGAGAGAATACAAAAAGAAGACTTAAACTATTAATTTATCAAACTTTTCCGATTATTGTACAAGAATGGCCTCCCCTCCCCCTCCCATAAAAAAAAATATGTTAAAAAATTGGGGGTCTTAGGGGCTTTGTTTTCAAGACACTCTCTTATGGTCTGCATTACGATACATGTAGAACAAAATCACTGGCGTGATAACAGTGTTTAAACAAATTTTAGGGTAAGAACTTTTGAAAACGATGTTTTCAACCTTTTTTAAAAGGTTTTTCTAAGAAATTATATTCAGCACTTTTATAATGTTTGGCAATGAATTGTGAGACCATATCAGTCTATAACCGAAACTGTGAGTTTCATGATCAAACCATGAGACTTGCAGGACTGAATATAATATCATACAAGGCAGACTTAGTAATTCTTAGTATTACACCTCCAGACAACTATAGGAGTACAACTTATGGATCGGAGCAAGGTTCAACTGTCCAAGTGTGACAAGCAATTACATACATTTTCATTACTTACTGATTCAGATAATGGATTGTCGACGTCCTGTAACAACTTGTTCTCATTTTCATTGCAACTTCCACTAGCAACCATTGCTGTAGGGTTACGTTTGGGCTGTGTTGGTAGCTTATTATCTTTACTGTAAGGTGTTTGTAAATAAGATGACCTCTTTGCATCATCTGTTTCCTCAAACTCATTCTCACCATAACTCTTCCTCTTCAGTTCATATCGTACGAATGATTTTCCTGAATAAACTGGTGCAAACTCAGGGAGATAGCCACTCTGTGAGGGTAGAGTTTTTGTTTTATCATCATTTAGCAGATTTAATGTGCAGTCTGAGTGAAGAGACAAATTTGGAGGTTCAAATTTGAAACAGAGAGGAACTGACTTTACGCTGCCTACAAAACACATAAAAAAATGAATGTTTTAGTTAAATATTAGGTGTGCGAAAAGTACATGTATACTAATGTGGCCAGTAATGTGCTGTTCATAGCTCAAAACCATAACAACTCCACTACAATAATTATTTTCTTGATAGTCAGAAACACACCTGGGGTGCAAACCATTTACATGAATCACCTGTTTTTACCCAGTAAATATCTTGTCCATATAAACATAAAATGTAAGAATTTCATGTTTTGGGAGAACATCCCACTACAAAGTTTATCCATATCAGATAAGCAGATGGAAAAAAAAGAAAAATTGCATCGCCTTCAAATATAATTATAATAAATCTACAGACACACGTTAGCAGCAGGGAAGGACTAGAAGGGAACCAAAGAACCACACAGGCTAGTATAGTCCACCCAATTTAAAGTTAGATTACATTGTAAAAAGAGAGAAAAAGAAAAAGTATCACATATAAATAAAATGTATTGTTAATTGCTATAATTTCATGCCCAAGTTACACGTGGGTGATCAGGATCAAAGCCCATTATCCTATTCTTATAAAAATCTCTATAATGTTTTTGAAGCATGACAGGCTCAGATCTTCGAAATAAAGGTTGTCCGGTAAGTTATTCCATAAATAAGGAATTCTATTAAAAAAAGTTCTCTCGAGGAATTCAGTTTTAACTAAATTAAATCTAAGTTTATTACTTGAGAATGAGCTTAGTCTCTTATCAGAGCAGAACTGAAAATAGGAGACGAATGAACAATAATTATCATAGTGACCACACTTGAGTTTGTAAAAAGTTACAAGGTCTCTGACTTCCCTTCGGTAAACCAACAGAAGTAGATCCAATCGTTTGAGCCGCTCGTTGTGGCTTAGCTTGGGCAAGAAAACTCTTGTGGCATGTTATTGGATCCCCTCCACTAGCTTTATCATAGAGATAGACCTCAGGCTCCAGATTTCCGAGGCATAGTTAAAGTGGGTCAGGGTTAGGGTTAAGGTTAGGGTAAATACTGCTCACTTACACTCATTGTACAACCTATAAAAAAAAACTAGCATCTTATTAGCTTTATTAACCTGTGCATAAATGTGTTCATTAAAACAAGTGTCAAAGGTTATTAGAACACCAAGATCACACTGAGCGTCAACTCTATTTAAGGTTTTAGTTCCAATGGTATAATATATGTAATTGGTTCGCATTTTCTTGTCATCGCGCTTAACAAGCATTTGTCTGTGTTAAAGACAAGCTTCCATTTATCACTTCATTCAACTTGATTATCAATATCACTTTGTAATGATTCACAGTCACTGACAGATCTTAAAGTATGAAAACACTGAGTCTTCGCATCGTCAGCAAATAAAGCCAGAGATACTTGAGTGAGACAAAGCATATTGTTGACAAATATGACAAAAAAGCAGGCCCAAGCAGGGATCCCTGTGGGACTCCTAAGGTGACAGATAACCAGCCTGAGTGTTTGCCATCTATTACCACACATTGCATCCTGTCTGTCAGATAACTGGTGAACCACTGCAGTAAGGGACCTTTCATTCCAGAATGATCTAATTTTCTAATCAGGTGTGAATGCAACACCGAGTCAAATGCCTTTGAAAAGTCTAAAAAGGCAATATCAGTTTGTCTACCTTGGACAGTGGATCTAGCTATACAGTGGACAGTATCTATTGCTGAGTAATGGTTGATCTGCCTTTACCAAAGCTATGTTGCAGGGGATAGATATCATCAGTGATGAAAGCGAAGAAACGATCAAACACGCAACACTCAGCAAACTTGGAGATAAGATGTAATAAGGAAATAGGCCTGTAATTAGTTACATCCTCCTCATTACCTTTTTTGAAAACAGGTAATGATAATGCAATCATTTCCCACGATGATGAAAATTATAATATTACAATCCTGTGTGCAGGGGCTTTATTTGGGGAATATTGAAAGAAGTCATGTCCAAGCAGCATGCGAAAAAAGACATGAATGAGGGGCAAGCAAGGGAGAGCTCTCCTTTCGTTTGCCCCTTGCTCACGCATTTTTTCACAGCTCACTTGGTTCACTTTGACGATAAAAATGGAGAGCTTGCTTGCACAGCAGGCAAGCAGTTATTTTTACCAAATATTCCACAGGCAGCCCAGATGTAGTGTGCGTCAATAACATGGACAAAAGAGGATCGATTGGAGCTGGAGTTGACGATATTTGACTGAAGAGGAGTTAAAAAGTATGTAATATTTTAAATAAATATATCTTAATCATTATTTCATTGTTTATTAATTGGTCCTGGTTTATTTTGAACTAGAACTTCCTCTGTTTCTTATCGTATCTGACATTCTTACGAACCTCTACATTAAAAAGTCGAATTATCACACCAAAATATCCTAGAAGTCAAAATATAACAAAACAAAGCTCACAATATATACCTTTTTTGAATGTCTCCTTGTTGGTCCTGGTCGACTTAAGTGGCATTTTGTTGAGTTTTGTACTTGCACAGGGGTCGAAATTAATGGTAACCCGTAAACCAACAGTTTCCATTGTTTGGCTATTGAAAAGGAGCCTTAGTAACCTGAAGCGGTTATTAAAAATTTCTGTCTGCCATACATGTATTTCTTTTTTGCATAAGATTATGTTCTATCAATTCTGGAACAGTTTATTGTTCTAAAAGATATGCTTACAACATAATTGCACAAAACATGAAAAAACTGCGTTTCACAGAACTCATGGTAACCAGGAACAGTTTCAAACATTAAATAAGGCTACCAGAGGGTGTACAAAGAAGAAGGAAAGAACTTCCCACCAAGAATTGAGAAAAGGCATTCACCTGGCTGCAGTTTGATGAGTCTAAACAATCAACATTTTGCAGTGCTTAAGATGAATTTCCCGCCCTCATGTAAGGCAATTGAAACGAAAATGTAAAACGAGGATTAAATCATCTATATTTCTTTTTACAGATCACCATGCAATTTGAACCAATCCATCCATACATTAGTTTGCCCCATTTATTATTACTATTTTCAATAGGTAAAATAATGTCATTCTTGGATAATAAAGTTTATAATTTGGTGAGTAAAATTTATGGCCACTAACCTAAAGGTTTAGTTATCCAAAAAATTAATTTCAAACCCTGTTATAGGTACTATTCACAAAATAACTTACTAAATACTTCTACTTTAGTGGATAGAACCTACAAGTGCAAACTAAACAAAACGCCAATTAAATCAGCCAAAGATTGAAGGCATATATGTGAACTTTACTTTGACTCCTCCTCAGTCAAATATCGTCAACTCCAGCTCCAAGCAATCCTCTTTTGTCTATGATATTGACACTGTCTGAACTGCCTGTGAAGAAAAAATTAAAACTACATCTGTGTCTGGTGTTCTCTTAACGCTTTGTGTCACATTAACTCTTTAATCTAAAGCACACATCCCTGACGGATCAAACAAGTTTATTAGGCTTATTGACCCTTATTTTGATCAGTTTTTAAATTGGTCCTTACTTGTTCATCTTTATTTTATCATGACATTTACAGATACCACTCAGTTTTTTAAACAAAAATGTGAATAACTTTATGCAAAGGACTTACAAATTTATTCTTAAAAGTGAAAAAAAATGACATACAGTTTCTGTGAGAGGTTCTTGATAAATGGTGAGCCGAGGTGTTGTTGAAAACCCTCTTAATCAGTGAAAATTCAGGAGCTCCCAAGGGCTTTGCCCCTTGGACCCCACCAGGGCTCTGCCTTTGGACCCCACTAGGGGCCTACATGGTCCCACACCCCTGGTATAGGGGCAGGTAACTAAGTTACCTGTTATTATGTGCTTGTTACCTTCAGTTAAAAAAACATGATAAGAACAAAGTTGTATTTGGTGAGCAAGTTGATATTTGGAATTTTGAGCTTTGGTATTGTTGCATAAACCTTGAAATATCAGGATTTTGAGGGACCAATAATTGTTTCTGTCACCAACTTATATGACAAGGTGTCCATTAAAAAATCTAATACTTTTATAAATTTGTGTGTTTTTTTTCTTTCTTGTGTGATCCCCAAGTGGATTTATTCTATCCTGTTAATTACTACTTTATAGAAGGTTCAGCAACGAATCTATCACTCCCTATTTTGTGCTAGCGATACCTGTGTTATTCATTTGCATGTCTTAAGTACTCAAGTTGGGGGGAGCCCGGGAGAACAGGGGGCGGGAGGGGCACGGCAAATGGGAGAAGAAAGGGCGGGAAGCAGGATTCATGTGATGGCGGGAAGCGGGAGAGAAATTCAAAAAGGCAAGCTTTCGTTATTTGTTACTGCTTACATCCAGTCAAAGAAACGAACCCAAAAACGTTTCTTGACTTCCATTTAACGTTCTCCGAGGCTTAACGCAAAATTTTATACACAAGAAAAGTCAAAAAACAAAAATTCGTATTCGCGATAAAAAAACAGTGTTACCTCCTGTGAAATTTGAAACCTTTCCAAGTCACTTTCATCATAGGTCATGAAAGAGATGGCATGACACATGTGTCAACTGTGTCAGTCGCTCGTGTCAGTGTCTCGTCTGTCTCGCTAGCTGTCAAAATCCTTGGTAAGAACGACAAAGCGAGTCACGTCAAATGTCATCAAAGACCATTATTTTCGGTGTGGTGGGGAAAATCCGTCCATGGAAGACCTTCCTGGTAGCTCACTCTTATGACTGTAGTTCACAATTGAAAACACTGAAGATTTTGCCGTGGAGTAAACTTGTGTTCGAGGGAATGCCACTTCAATGATCGTGCTGGAGAGTGCGGAGTGGTTCAAATTTACAACACAATATTTTATTTTGGACAAGGCCAAAACACTCCCTATAAGAATTGATGGTTTTCACAGTGACGTCATCAGATTGCAAAGTCAAAAAAGCAAGGTTCTACGAATTCTTATTTACACGAGGTTGAAGATAAATAGAAAATAAATCTTTGTACAAGTTTTCTGCCCCGAAGCATGTTTCATTTTGAACATACAGCAATTTGAACTTCCGAGTTTTCACAGTGCGTGACACCAAAATAGGAATGCTGTCTCATTGAAAAAAGCCCTCTCTTCTCTTTATTTTTAGCAGTTTAACTATTTCAAGGATTAAAAGATGTGTTTATGTGCACGTTTATGTTCACCCAAGTATGGGTTCCCACAGCATGTTGTTTTCAATAAAAATTGCTAATCTTGAGTCCTTTGTTTGTCCTTTTTGGCCTTTTACTAGCTTAGCACTGATTTGAGGGGTGTCAGTTCCATGATATTGAATGAAACCAGTAGAAGACCCAAATTTGGACAAACAAAGGACTGAACAAGTGTTTTCTATTGAAAAAAATCAAGAGCCATAATTGTTTCATAGAGCTTAGGGCTACCTGTAGTTGTGTTTACCTGATTGTTTTCATAGGACTTTTGTTCACATTTGATTTTAATATTGTTTAGCATAACATCATCATGCACAGTTGTGGTTGTGAGGGGGGTGTTTACATACAGTGTAGGCTTATAATAAATTTAGACTCTTCAATGGATGAATTTAATAGAGATACTCACCATACCATGGTCTAAATCGTCCAGCCAAAAAATGTCTTGAGGTTTTAGAATTTTGAACATTCACAAGTAAATTGCTTGCGACTAAAGCGGGATCCACACAACTGACAAAGCTCCTTGCACAGCATTTCTCGGAGTCTGCTTGATACACATCCACTGCATCATTAGAACCCATAAAGAGAAGCAAAGAGCCTTATAAAAACTGTCGAAAACGCTTGTACGCGTAATAAAATATCAGTCAGATTAAGCATTTTGATAGAAGTAAAAATAGCATGTCAACCTTCCTTGAAAGGGATGAACAGGCGCCATTTTAAGGCGGTCCAGTCCTCCTGGACAAACTCCACCAGATGGGAGTCTGGGAAGGTCCCTTCATTTCAATATGGAGGATTATGAGAGTGTCTTGTGCGTAAAAAACGAGTGTTTTATTTACAAAATACCCCCAAGAACCAGCAATCGTGGATACAGGTATGTTCTACGCCCCGTCGGTATATTATTTCCCTTGAATGGCAATAATGTTGGAATGATCGAATGCTTTTGTGGAATCCTTTAAAGATTTTAAGCTGTGTTATCAGATCGTTTAATATAATTCCTGTTTGCTTTAAAATAAACATTAGGCTGACAGAATTTCATTCAGACACTATGATTGGAAAATGCGTTTCTTGAAAAATTTGCACCTTTTTGGAGATTTCTCTGTTTTTAAGAAATCACATAGAGAGTTGTAAGGAATTTATTTATTCGCTGTTATTTTAAGGAATCTCAACAAGCCAAACCCTTAAATCCCTGAGAGAGGAACATTTGCAATTCAAATTTCATTGTAAAATCGATGTCTGTTTTATTAGATTTATGGCGTTCTTAATTTTTTATCTTGATAAAATATGATCATGTAATTATAGGACAAAAACGTTATAGGCTAATTATAAACTACACGGTTTGCTACTACACTTAACCTATGAACTCATTTTTAGCCTGTGTAGCAAGCGTTTCCAATCGAGTTATTGAACGAATGTTAGAGTGGCAGCAAAAAAAAATGGAAGGGTTAGGGGGAGGGGAGAAGAGGAAACACCTGCCCGCAAACAGCATGATTTTGGAAAACGCCCCTTGATATTTCACCGTTGAGTCATAAATGTAAATTGACAGCTCGTAAAGAGAGAAGCCAGTATAACAAACAGATTACCAGATTTGTAAAATTTACTTTGTTCTCTAATAAAACACACTCCACGCAATTGCAAAAACTGTAATAAAGAAGGTTAACGATAAAAGAAGGTAGAAAATCTGAGAGATTGCTGTGAAATGTCTTGTTTTTTATAGGTAAGTTAAATTTCCAACGTAATGTGGCTCTGAAACCGTGTCAAAATATCGCAAGGAAAAGATTTGTTTGGAACAATTCACTCCCCCGGCTATGAGTTTTTCAGAGCGGCTGCTCTCCAGCCCATGTTGAGAAGTTCTCTACAATACATGCCACTAAATTTCCAACAAACAAAACACGGGCTAAGAATCTTTTAATTTCAAACAGTTGACAAATGGCTTGTCCATGGCGGCATTAGTTAGTATCGAGTACAAGCTATTTTTTTCCAGTCAGATCCGCACACCGTCATTGCCAACAAATTGGTCTTCACTGGTGTCAACAGCTCAAATTATACTTTGAAGGGGCTCAGATCTGATAAACCCTGGCACAAACACGATTCAAATAAATATCACTCCAAAGCATTTTTAATCTGCCACCACCAGCACCTCACCAATCAGAAGCTTTGCAAAATCGTGGGTTTGCAGGCAAGGGTTTCTTTCTCTCCCCTCCCCCTTCCCCTCTCCCGTTCTTCTGTTTTTTTGCCCTCATTTCAACTTTCTCAATGAACTCGCGTGGAAACTCTTGCTACGCAGGCTAACTTATTTCATTTGATCAGTCCCCAGTCACTGTTGATGTTCACGGGTATCCACGAGTAATTGTGATTGGGTATCACTCACTCACTTTGCTTGGTGTATTTCGATCTGTTCTTTTTGAGTATCATGCTCAAGGTTATCATGGTACCAATGTACCCTGCAAGCATTGGTTTGTCCATAGGCTGGACGCTACCCTATGAAGGGAGAGAAACCACTGCAAGCAACCATTGGTCTCTTTCATTGAGCTGCCACCGATACAATGCATGCATAAATAAATTACCTTTGAACAGGTAATACCTATGTAAAAAAAAGTTAAGGCTCTTGCGATTTGCTTATGCTTGTAACTGCTGCCTTAAATTAATGGGAGCCTGCTGTAAATTTGCACTCTTTTAGTCTTTATTGCAATTATTCCTACCGACTTACTTTGTCAAATATAGTCGCTGCTTGTTTGTGTTCTCCGTAAAACGTGAAATTAGGCATTTTCATGCTGCAGTCATGCAAAAACGGCAAAGAAATGTACAAAAAGTGTGATGCACATGAAAAGGTTTTGTTTTGCTTATCAAACCTTTTTTTTTTTTTTTTTTACATTCTCTAAATGTTGCCATCATGTCATTGGATCTGAAAGTCCCTGATGTTGCTTGGAAAACAAGAGACAAAGTGATGTCATTTGACATTTTAATATAAGCATCATGTGGGCGTGTATGCTTCATAGCCACTCGCATTTGTTTCTCTCCTTTGGTAGCATAGCGTCCAGCCTGGAGAAACCACTGCTCTCGGAGTATTTACCATGGAGCTACTGTTGTTCAAAAATTACATTAAATACTGTCATTTATTAAATTTTGTTGCTTCTCAAATATTTATCTCTGAAAGATTATCTAAATCTCAATCTAAGAATAATTTGTTAATTTCTGCTTAAAAATATCCTTTGTATTAAATACTTATTTTTATGAGGAATCCACTATGGAGATGTAAGGTGATATTCAATAACCTTCATTTTTTAAATACGTGATCGGTGCCCTCCAACACTTGTTTACTCAAAGTATCTCAAATGCAGCATGTATCTGAAATAGCTCTCTGTTATCTTTTTACTTAAAATGAATCTCATCCTTTGTTACTTCCATCCGTTGTTTTCATTATGAAAATGTTGTCAGGGTAATTGGTTCCTGCTGTAGCACAAAAGTCAGTTGCTTCTCAGGCAGTTCTGCATAGTAGGCAGTTTTTTGGTGTATTTCATTTGTGGTTCATAAATAAAGTAAAGAAATACAGCCACGCAAAAGATGAACTACTGTCTCAGACAAAAATAGTTGGGACACTTTAACCAAACGCTGTTTTTTCCCTTCTCGTGCCCCCCTCGTCCCTCTCAAAGTTGTTTATCGCGGTTCGGTCACCAAATCTTGTACACTAATATTGAGGGGACAAGAAGACCCCCAAAGTGTCCCAACCATTTTGACTGAGACTGTAGGTCAAATGTGGGGGGAGGTAAGAGGAAGAAGGCAGAATTGACGTCATTTAAACTTTCACGTGGCTGTATATCCTACTTTACAAATTAAAAACAAAAAACACGCCCACATTTTCAGTATATTGATAAGAATGAGTCACAAAAATATGATTGCCAGATTGCAGAAGCTGAACCTCCGAGTGGGTATTTTAAGACAATGAACTTGTTAATATGCAGAGCGTGGGTTGACATGTTCACTCATGAAAGCCAGAATTTTTCTAGGGTATATCATTTCAAATAAATATTTTATTTTATCAAATGTCTTTTCTATTTTCTAAACAATGTATACACAAGTTCCCCATAGTTTTTTCGTTGATTGTTGTTTGATTTGAGTGTTCTTTATTTACTGATTGATATGTTTTGTATATTTTTCCCAGGGCTGCTGACTGGAAGCTAGATCAACCTGACTGGACTGGAAGAGTAAGAGTGTGTGCTAAAGGAAAAGAATGTTATATTAAAATTGAAGACAAAAGTAGTGGTGAGTAATAATTATGCAGAAGTCACCAAAATTCAAAAATTTTTAGGACCTTTTTCATAGGCCGGTGGGTGAATTAGCGACTACAAAAAACATTTTAAGCTGTTGATGTGGTAGAATGTGGGGGCTTAAGCCAACTGTGTAGTTTGATTCAAGTGAAGTACATAATTTATGTATTGGTTCAATGTTATGTTTGTATGCAACAACTGAAATAGAAATCCGGAATCAAAAGTATGATATGGTTGTCATTAAAATTCTTTAGAGAAAAGTTGAGAGTTTTTAATTTTCACGAGGACTCTTTGTTGCCAAGTCTTATTAGGTGGGGGGAATTATCTTAAGTTTAAAAATTTCAAACAATATAGCTTGTGACTTATTGCTTCTTCAGGGGATCTTTTTGCAAAATGCCCCGTTGACAGTTACCCGGGTATGGCAGTGGAAGGTGTATTAGACAGCAGCAGATACTTTGTCCTTAAAATTGTAAATGATTCTGGTGAGTGGTTTTCAATTAGGGTTGTTATGGTAACAGACTTTTTATAAAGAATTTATATACTACTTATTAACTGAGAGTGAGGTCATTAAAGGGAAATCTCAGACCGAGGCCTTAATGTATTGACCAAGCAATAGCGAGGTCAATATTGCTTGGTCAATACATAAGTCCGATCAGTGGATAACTTTAAAAAACACTTCAACTCAATGAGTTGTACACTTGAGCCTGTGATACAGTCAGGTGACACTAGTCAGAGGATACCCTTTTTGACAGCTGTTAATTGACCATAATATGGATGTCCATAGGGAGGTCCACTATCGACTTAAACACAGACTGTATATGCCTTGGACACCCAGCTAGTAATGCCTGGTCAGTACAAGAAAATAATGCCCAGTAATTGCAAGAAAACAGCCGATCAGAGTGCACATACTATTGTAACCATATAATAATGTAAATTATTACATGATTTTTCACACACAAGTGTTACTTTTAAGGAATAATTAAGTTTTGTCGGGAAAATATAATTCATATTATATATAAAGTCCCTCTCCACGTAGGACTATTTTTTCCATATTGGAGTAGATTCCTTATTAGACAAGGGGGGATTATTTAAAACTGGTACAGTGGCACTGAGGCCTTAGTACTGGTAATAGTAGACATTTGCAATGTGGTAAATGTCAAGCTTAATACACCAGCATATGTGAGCAACTCCTCTTGTGACAGGTCCGAGGCTGTTCCCATGGGAAGTCCACCTGGAGGGCGGTAACTGTAGAGAGTTTAACTGACTACAAGCTAAGTTCGCTTGAGGGACCAAGTTACCTGCAGGATATCAGGTTCAGGCAGAAGGGGCTCTTTATCCTTGGCCAGAAGCCCATCTAGAAGCAGGAACTTCGAACCCAAACCAGGCTTGGAGAGGGATAGGCTCCGCCAGGCTTTATTTGCCCATGATACACCACATGAAATGACAACCATTTCTCAACCAATACCAGATCGGTCGTTGCCCGGGTCAAAAAGGACTGCACCTTCCGTTCCTCATCAGGACGGAGGTGAGAAGTATGCAACTGGTGTAACAACTAGCAAGATACATGTCAGAAGCAATATCACTGTTGGCACCTGGAATGTAAGAACCTTGCGAATGGCAGGCAAATTGGAAGAAATTATTGTCATATGAGATGAGCAGGTACCGCTGGAACATCTTAGGTCTCTGTGAGGTGCGATGGAAAACCTTTGGTGAGACATCCACTGAGGAGGGTCATAAATCATACTTCAGTGGCAAGGGGGACATCTGCAGGAAATCTTGGACCAGTCCCCTAAGAAAGACATCCTTGTTGTGTTAGGTGATTGGAATGCCAAAGTAGGAGAGGATGCATTCAAGAACTGGAAAGGCACTTGGGGATGCTACTGTAACCCAGAGACAAATGAGAGAAGTCTAAGGCTTCCGGAGTTTCTCTTGCTACAACGTTCTTGTGCTGGCGAATACACTTGCCAAACACAAAGTATCCAGAAGATGGACTTGGCACAGCCCAAATGGAGGATACATGTACCATAACCAGATTGATTATATCATGGTTAGGGGGCACTTCGTGACCAATGTATTTTTAACACCGATAAGACAAGAAGCTTCCCAGGAGCTGACATGGGAAGTGCATGACCATGATTTAGTGATGATGTCTTTTTGGCTACGTTTAAAGAAAATAAAAATGCAGGGCCCCACAAGGGTTAAGTTCAATCTTGAGAAGCTTAAAGACCCTCAAATTTCAGATGCCTTCCGAGTAATGATGGGTGGTAAATTTGCACCCTTTACCTTGCTTGGTGCAGATGACACAGAAGGGGACACACTCCTTAACACCTTAAATGAAGCAATGACTGAAACAGCTAGTGAAATCTTAGGCAAACGCAGAGCAGTCAAAATACCGTAGGTCACAACTGACATACTGAATCTATGCGACGAACGAAGACCACTGGAGAATCAGAGACATGAGACCACAGAAGGAGCAAGAAAGTACAGAGCAGTTAACCAGGAAATTAAGAAGAGCTTAAAAAGGGCAAAAGAGTCTTGGATTGATGTACAGTGTCAAGATGTTGAAGATAACATCAGGAAGAACAATAGCAAGAAAGCATATCAGCTGGTAAAAACTTTAACTAGCACAGAACAAGGAAAGACCAACACCATACAGGACAAAGTTGGGAATTGCCTTATCGAAACCAACAGCATTCTAAAGAGGTGGACAGAATACTGTGCAGAACTGTACAGCCACACAGTCGTACGTGACCCTTAGGTGCTGACTGTTCCACTAGTAACCAACATTGATAACTACCCAGTCTTGCGGGAAGAGGTCGAAGCAGCTGTGAAATCGCTCAAGAAGAGAAAATCTCCAGGGATAGACAATATCCCGTGGGAGCCGGGACAGGCAGGAGGAGATGCTGTGATGTGCGATAGATAAAATCTGTAATAAGATATGGCAGACAGGAGAGTGGTCCATACTATGGACCTAGTCTCTTATCATCACCCCTTCCAAGAAAGGCAACCTTCAACAGTGCAAGAACCACTGCATGATCAGCCAAATATGCCACCCAAGTAAAGTCCTGCTGAAGGTGCTGTTAAAATAGGCTGAAGCCTCAGGCAGAATCAATCATCGCAGGAGAACAGACAGGTTTCCGATCAGGTTGAAGTACTACAGAATAGATCTTCAATCTTAGAATACTGTGTGACAGGTACCTCCAACATCAAAAAGACCTTTATCGCGTCTTTATTGATTTTAAAAAGACGTTTGACAGAGTACTGCATTAAGCCCTTTGGTCTACTATTAGGCTTTATAACATTAATGCCAACCTGATCCAAGTCATTGAAAAACTCTACAACAAGGCCACTTGTGCAGTCTGTCTTAATGGTAGCATACGTAGGAGAATGGTTCAGAACCACAGTGGGAGTCAGACAAGGATGTATACTCTCACCGACTCTTTTCAACGTCTTTCTGGAGAGAATTATGACTGATGCACTAGAAGATCACCAAGGAACAGTCAGCATCGGAGGCATTATTACCAACTTACGTTTTGCTGATGATGATGATGATGATGATACCTTTATTAAAGTGTCAAAACTATAATAGCGGTATATAACCACTAAGTGGGGACACTAAAATAAATTTTAAAAAAAATCAATCAATTAATAAATTAATTAAAATTAAGAAAAACTATGTACAGTATAAGAAAGTGAGAAATTCGAGAGAACTATATACAATATGTACAAATGTATCCATAATCTTATAAAAAAATAAGAAATAAAAGATTATGAAGTGCAAAGAGAGCAGTTAGAGCAGTTATTGTCATCTAATAGCATGCTAAGATCCACTTTTCTGATGTTATATTTGAAGGAGGACAACGTGGAAGCTTTTTTCACGTTACTAGGAACAGAACTCCATACCTTTGGGCCCATATACCTGAGCGAGTGCTTTCCAAAGGAGACTGTGTTGAATCTGGGTATAGTGAAGTCATGATTGCGCAGTTCATACTTAATTGCAGGCTGTTCAAAGAGAGTGCTAATGTATGTTGGGCACATGTTGTTTTTAACTTTATACATGAGAATAGCTAAGTCCTGTAGTCGCCGGTTGTGTAGAGTAGATAGCCCAGCCATAGATAGTAATTGACCATAGGACGAATGTTTATCACAATATATAGCCCTAAGTGCTCTTTCCTGGATACGCTCTAGTCATCTAGAATCACTAGCATGGCAAAAATGCCATATAAGGTGACAGTAGGTTAAATACGGGAGAACAGCTGCCTTATATAACTGTAATTTAGTTTGTGTGGGTATAAGGTTCCTGAGCCTCATGAGAACGCCTACCCGCTGGGCGCTCTTCTTAGAGATACTACTTATATGTTCATCCAAACGAAGATTGTTATCAATACAGACACCTAATAGCTTGAGACATTCAGTGGATCTGACTTCATGATTGTCAATCATAGTACTGTCCATAGACTTCCTTCTGCAACCAAGTGCCATTGTCTGGTACTTGTCCAAATTTCCCTTTTGTAAATTAGCTCTGTACCATGAAGATGATGACTCAGCACAAACAGCAAGATCATCATGCACATCAGAGAGGGTGCTGCGAACGACATAAAACTGGTGGTCATCTGCATACATATTCATGTTCGCATCAACAGTATAAGTCAAATCGTTTTGGAAGATGTTCCAGATGAGAGGTCCAAATGCAGAACCCTGTGGGCATCCCCTGGTCACCCTCTGCCACTCGCTCACTACAGATCCTAGCTTGACCCTGTTATAATGGTCTGTGAAGTAGGAGCCCATCAATCGCAGACTTCTTTCCTCAACACCATAAGCTTTAAGTTTTGCAAGTGTAAGTGGATGGTAAAGTGAATCGAAGGCTTTGCTCATGTCCGTGGAGAGAACACCCACAACGTTATGCTCATCCAGAGCGAATTTCCAATTCTCAGTCAAAGATAAGAGAGCTGTCTCACAGCTATTGTTTTTCCTGTAAGCTGTTAGTTTGTCGCACAGTTTGTTATTAAAACCATAACTGAGTTGCTTGCTGAGTAATTGTTCAAAGAGTTTGTTTACAGTAACTTGTACAGTTATGGGTCTGTAGTTTCCCATTTCATGGGGATCTTCCTTCTTAAAAACGGGTGTCCATTCACCCCTTTTCCATCCCAAGGGCCACTCTCCGAGGGTTATACGTGAATTAAATAGTGACGTCAATGGATTTGTTAGCTCAGTAGCTCCAAGCTTGAGCGCCATGAGAGGGATGCCGTCCCAGCCTGTACTCTTCCTTAAACTGACTTTTTGCAGCGCCTTTTCAACTTCAAAACTCTGAAGGTTCTGAAACTGGAAGCCTTGGTATCCTGTCATCTTCTGCGTAATATTCTGGACACTAGGGTGGGTGGCGAGAACTTTGTCATCAACTGCACTGGTGTCTCCAATCCCATCAGCCACAGTAGCAAAATATTCACACAAGTGATTAGAAACCGCACATTGGTCTCTACAGATGGTCCCATTGATACTTAGGCTGAGCTCATTTGTGTTGACCTTGTGCTTATCAGTCAGAAAGGGCATAAATGTCTTATAGAACTCACTCGGCTTGCGCTTAAGCTTAGTGGCTTGCTCTTTCCAATATGTTCTTACTGCCTTTCTCCGGAGTCGGGTGGCCTCGTTTCTGGTTATCCGCCTAGCTTCCCAGTTCTCACTGGTTTGTTCCTTGAGATACTTTTTTGCTGCCCTCCTCTTAGCTCTCATGGCACCTTTCCATTCTTTAGTCATGTATGGAACATCCTGAGCCCTAACCCGCATCTTCTTCGTAGGCATATGTGTATTGACAATACTGGACAGAAGCATTTCCATAAAATTTGCCTTGTCGTCACATGAATTGAAAATTTCACTAACATGCCATGGAGCATACATTAGATCTTCTTTGTATTTCTCCACATCAAAATCCTTTAGAGATTTAGATGTTACAATCTTGCCTTTCTGGTGTTTTACCATCTCATTCAGGAATCCATAAACAAGTCCGTGGTCACTGAGCGCAGGATCATGTACCCCACAATTCTCAAATAGTTCCGGATGGTTAGTGAGAATAACATCGATCAAGCTCTTAGTGATAAGAGAGCCTCTCATTTGTATTCGAGTGGGTTCGGTTAAAACCCACTCGAATACAATTTAGAGGCTCTCTTATGACATTGATGGCTTGGCAGGAAAAGAGGAGGAACTAGCCTGCCTGGTGGATCATGTGGATAAGACCTCTGCAGCCTTTGACATGGAAATTAGTGCAGAGAAGACCAAAGTGATGACCAACAATGCAACTGGTATCAGCATTGACATCAAAATCAACAGTGAAAAATTAGGCGAGGTTGACAGCTTCAAGTTTCTGGGCGCAGTCGTCACAGATCAGGGTTTCAAGCCTGAAGTACTGTCCAGAATTGCACAGACAACAGCGGCACTAGCGACACTGAAGACCATGTTATTACGAGGTGGGGGCCAGGGGGTTTTCCCTGGCTACTTTGAACGTGATCCCTGGGCTACTTTCAAATGAAAATAGAAGAAAATAGAACCAAAAGAAACCCCTAGCTGTTTGATTCCCCACCCACTTGTTGTATTTACCCAGCAACTTGAAATCTTAGTGACAACCCTGTATTTTATATAAATTTTATTTCTTGTTACTTGTATTCATATTTTATTCAGCCTGGTGCCCCCATTCAATTCATTAGCTTACAACATTTAATCTAGGCAAACAGACATGTTAATTAAGTTAATTCTCATTATTACTATTACTGTTTAGAAATTATTATAAGTATTGTTATTATAACTACTACTTTTACCATTATTATTATTTTATTATTATTATTATTATTATTATTATTATATAGATATGATAAAATTAATGTTATAATTACAAAATCTAATAGAATCTTTTGCTCCAGGTCAACATGCATTCATTGGAATGGGTTTTCAAGACAGAGGGGACAGCTTTGATTTCAATGTAGCATTGCAAGATCATTTCAAGTTTGTTGATTCTCTATATGGACTGCGTTTACACTCTGTTGCTTATTGTTTTTTGTTTGACGTACACTAAATAGATTGTTAAAAATATACTTTTTCCCTAAAGTCTCATCTTTCTTATCCAGGTGGATAAAACAAAGTGAAAAGCTTGAAGCAGAAGCTAGTCAGCCTGATCCTGGTCCAAAATTAGACTTGAGTTTTAAAGAAGGACAAACAATCCATATTAATTTGGGGGTAAGTAAGGTTTATTTATTGAGAATTGGTGAGAGAATATTCAGATTCTTCTAACCCAGCTACTGAAATTATTTCCTGTTTTCCTTTGAGAGGGTGCATGTCAAATTGCAGCATCAGCCCTAAGCTTCTTGTTATTTTCTTGTACGCATAATGCAGCCTGGAGTTTTCCTTCTCTGCCTGTATACCTGCCAACTCTCACGCCTTAGGCGTGAGTCTCACACCTGCGGGTTGAAAACTTCGATCTCACGCCGGCTCACGCCTGCGGGCCAATTTCTCACGCCTGATTGAAAAATGTGAGTTGTTGCCGTCCTGCTTGACACAATTTCCAAAAATATGTTGACTCAGACCCATGTAAGGAACGAAAACCATGTGTAAAATAAATAAATGGCAATACCTTCCTCGCCATCTCTGATTTTTGAAGTGAAAAGCACTGGGAGCGAGCTCGCCTTTGGCAGACTTCGGCAGACTTCGGACGTCTTCGGAAAACTTCGGACTTCTTCGGGAATCTTCGGAAATGATTTGTCGTCTTCAAAAATCCCAGCACTCCCAGGATAAAAATCTCACGCTTATATCTCAGAAAGAGTTGGCAGGTATATGCCTGTACACTACAGACATGTATGGGATGTGATTTCATACACAGTACCCCTCCCTGTAACTTACTATCATGATAAGTAACGTAAACTATACATTGTGACTCCAACCATCACTCTAGCCCAGCAGAATGTCAGTTTTCTGTACTGTGAAAATATTTCTTCTTGGTAGAGATGCATATGATTGTATTTCCCTGATCACACTCACCTTATCATTAGCTTTCTTTGCTATGAAGGACCTGGAAACATCTATACTTTAACACTGGAAGTTTTAAGTCCAGTGGGAATGTAATTTTTAGGTTTTTTAGTCCACTGGGGTACTGTAGTGTTTAGAAAAATGTCTTGAGCAAGGAAATATTGTTGGATACAGAAAACGATCCAGTTAGTGACATACAATACGTTTCACATCTTTTAAAACATTTGTAGTGTTCATTGGTTTCATTAACAATTAAAGTAAATTGAAGTAACCAGCAGGTTTGAATAGAGTAACCAATTGTATCAACAAGGGACTGTTAGTCCCCTTTTTCTTAAGGGGGGTGGTCTGGGTGCATTCTGCCCCAGAAAATTTTAAGTCACAGAATCAATTCCTACAAGCAATGAACAAATGATGAAAACTAAATTACATACTTTTGCACATAAACAAATTCTGCTTAAACCTATAAACTTAAGAAACTTGTGAACAAATGACTGAATAATGTGCACATGACTAAAGCAACATAGAACCAGTGGGTCTAAAGTTATGAAAAAACGTGATAATTATGTTTTTGTTCAGATTTTATGATACATTTTTTTGTTGACAACATTATTCAAACTAGTTGCTTCTTCTTTCTAGAAAAAAATAGCAGACCTCTATGAGCAAAGTGGCTGACACATTTCGTCAGCCGTTGGTGCTTATTCAAACCCCTGAGTGTTATTCACTCTGTTATTGGGTTGATAAGGGGTGAAAAAAAGTGAAAAAGCAGACAGTTGAACCTCCACTAACAGCCATCTCTCCACAACAGCCACTATTTTTTGTCCCGCTGGACAGTCCATATATTAACTCTTGTTTAAACCTCTCTACAACGGCAACAGCCACTAAAGCAATCCCCAACTTCCAAAACAACCTCTTGACAACAGGCAGTTTTTTCAGCGACTAACAAAAAATTCAAGAATGGTTATGAAATTTGAAATGTATGGCACTTCGATGATTAATGGTGGCAAGTCTGATATACAGTCAACTCCCGATAATTCAAACCTTCAAGAGAAACAGAAAAAAGTTTGAGTTATTGGGAGTTCGAGTTATCGAAGGTAAAATTATGTAGAAAATGTTCTGAAGGGAAATGAAAATTGCTTTGAGTTAGCTTGCGACACTACCAGGAGTCTACTGTATGTATTTTGATTGTGTTCGATTTATATGCTGCAGCAAGCATAAACTACAAAACTTACAATGTTGTGAACCTGGATTGTTTTGTCTTATTAACATTTTGATTGAAAACATTATCTAAGTTTCATTGTGTATTTTAATATCTGGGTATTTTATTTATGATTGGATTGCCATTATAGGCTAATAGTAAGCATGAACTTGACACCGGTGTAATATTACACCCCTACCTCCTTATAACAGCCACCACTCCACAACGGCCACTTTCTTTTGTCCTTAAGGTGGCCTTTGTGGAGAGGTTAAACTTTATTTCCTTTGTCCTTTATTGATCAGGCTTGGTCTGTCAAGATGGCTGGACATTGGCTCTTTCTTTTTGGCATTCTTATGGACTAACACTTAGTTGCGGTCCACAAATAAGGTCAAAAAAAGGAACTTGGGCAATATTCAGATAATCTTAACTGACCAAACTTGCTCAATAAATTATGCATACACTATTGAATTATTGCAGAAGACTGAATTTAAGTTAGTCCTTTATTATAAATAATCTTTCAGAAACGATCACCTGGTTCAAGTGCCACAAATCGACCTAAACCTGGTAAGTTTTTCTGAAAGATAGACAACACAACTGTACTGTCCCAACAGTGCCTGGTATCCCTTGAAGGTGACTGACTCTCTTAAGATAAATAACAGGGCTCTACTGCTCTGGCAGGCAGTGCCGCCTGGAGTACCCTAGTGTACCCTACCATCACCACGTGCACCATGTGCCCAGTTTCCTGTTCAAACAAAAAGTGTTTTAACACTATGCACCATAATTCCAGCCAAATAAAGCAGCACTCTTTGTTAGGGAATGACTAGGCTCTACTTTCCATAAATGGAAAAGTAATTCATGCAACTACATTACAACAGTACAGTCCTGTTACAGTTAGCTATCTTTAAACTCGTCCATATTTGAGGACAGGTTGTTGGGAATATGTCAGGGAAACTTGCCTTGCTCTCTCCTGTTACAATTAAAGCTTCCCCCAGCTTTCAGAGAGTTGATACCTGTAGTGGAGATTATTTTATGTAAAACCCCTGCAAGAGCAAAGAAGGCCATGCTATGTGAACTGTGGATATAATAATATAGGATTTAGTTGTGGCTTTCTTTTGGGGCCATGACACGCCTAGATTTGCCCATCAGCCTACTTTGTTGAGGAATGAAGTCGCCCCTTGTATCAAGATTATTATCATGATTTATTATGGTGTATGACTGAGTCACTACGTTATTGCAGAAATTCAGTACTATTTGTTTCAATGTGAGTTTCTGTCTGTTTTCAACAGCTGGTGGTGGGCTTGGTATTATTCCCCCACCTCCTGGGGGTGTGGCTCCTAAGATAGCACCTCCCCCTGGGAGTGGGGCTTCACCTGCAGCTGGAAGAAGAACAGTTCAGCCTCATACCCAGGCTCCCTTCCCTAGCATGGATAATTTTGGGGCTTCATCTACAGTCCAACAACAAAGTCAGCAACAGAAGACAATGCCAGACTGGGGAGACTTCACATCAGCTTCAGGGTGTGTGTCTGAACAGTTTTAGGAATAATAATTCAAGAAAAGTTTATATTCTTAAAGTGAATTGCAGATACAATTGAACATTCATTGAGCAGCCACCCTCCATTATTAAAGCGGCCAGTAATCAAAGTTACAAAGTAACTCTAGAAAAGAATAGGAAATTAAACCTCTATTAAGTGACCATGAAGCACTTGACAGACTAAGTTTGGCTTTATTTTAAGAATATGATGAAGGAAAACAGCTCGGCATAAAAGGTGACGACCGATTGTGGACCAGTAATGCTGCCGCCGTCGTGTTTTTGTTTTAATATAAAGTGATGTTTCTGTTAAAGATTATGCTGATTTATGAGCCGGTTAATGACGAACCTCTATTGAGCGGTGCCCGAGGGTGAACGCTTGAAGGAAGTTCAACTGTATTGATTCTTGGAAAGGTTTCTGTGATTTCCGGAATAAACAAGGTCAAGAAAAGCGTTATCATCGACGCCTTTGTCCTCGGCTGATAACGTTTGCCTTACCCTTGATTATTCCGTGATTTTAGAAACCAAATTTGATAATTATATTGTTTTATTGTATATTGATTTGGAGAAAGTAATGACAAACACAACGTCACATAGAACACAGTGTATTATTTTCCAAAAAGTATAGAAATGTTCAACGGACAGTGATTGGAAATCATGCATTGCACACCCAACCCACAGATTACAGTCGAACCTCCCTGTGCGACCACCCATCCAAAACACCAAACTTTTTCCAGTCAAATCCCTATAATCAGAACCTTTAGGAAACGAACATCTCTCATAATCGACCACAAGCACTTTTGGGGCTGATGGTGTGATTATTTTCCATTGTTTTTAACCTCTTGTAAGTGACCAGAGCTTATTAAGAACTTTCACGTAACTTTCAGTGATAACTGCGTACCGTAAATGACATAATAGACGCCAACTCCCAAATAAACGCCTGTTATCTAATAAGCGCCCCCTCTACGCTTTTAAAATTGTGTTCGACGCCCCTCTCTGATAAATGCCCGATGTCTAATAGACGCCCCTTATGAGAATTAGCAAAAAGGAGCAAAATCATTCAATTCAGTCTGTTTCTTGCTTGGTTAGCCTGGCTTTAGGTATTTCATCTTGATCAATGATAGGCTAATGATGACAAGATAATAACCCTTAACGAGGATTCGGACATCGATGTTGGGATTTGAAAGAGCGATATGAAACTCTTGACAGCCTAGACGTATCAATTGATGGAGTGGATATTCCGCTGTTTTTAAGCTCTTTTGATTTTCGTCGAAGTCGTAATAGTTTTGTCGAGCTTGTTAAATTAAGATAATAAGCGCCTCTCTCTTTTATTATTTAACCCTCGGACATACAAGGGGGCGGGGGTGGTTGCCACCCCCCCCCCCCAAGGGTTTTCTGATTTTTTTCCTAGACGTTTATCCCTCGCGCACATTTTAAGACAAGTTTAGTGATGATCAGTTACTATGGTTACGAGATATGACGTCATAACTAGCAGGTGGTCAAGTAATTTTTGAGTGAAAAGGCATGTTTTTTCAGCTTCTTTTAGGAATAAAAGTAAGGCTTGTGGATAAAATGATGCAAAGTAATTATTTATGTGTTAGACCGAATTGGACTCCACTCAGTCCTGTTACCATTACTAATTTACATGTTACAGTCAAAGCAGGTCAAGCGTTCCCGACGCTAACGAACTAATGAATTCGTTAATGGGAAAATTATTTCGTTTGTTGATTCAATAATCCATTCATAAAATGAACAATCCAATATTGATATTCAGCCTCGATTCAATAATCAAATGTTGATTCGTTAACTGTTTTTGGAAAAACTACACTTTCCACAAGTCGACCTTAGAATTCTGATTTTTCTTCTTTTTTTCTAAGAGTCGAGTGCGGGCAAGTTCTGAAGTTCAAACCCAAACAAACTGTTACATGTACGCCATTTTGCCACCAGTAATCAGTGCATCAGACCTGACCTCTTAAGGTGATGTTACACGGGACGATTCGCAACGACGATTTTTAGTGCAACGCAGCGTTGTAATGTTGGGACAATGTTACAACGCCGTGTTGCGCTAAAAATCGTCGTTGCGAATCGTCTCGTGTAATATCACCTTAAGAAAACACGATAGTCAAACTGAGGTCAGCGTATGTGCGATGATTGGTGGATTTCAATCCTCGACCTTTGTCAGTTTCTTTGCGTTTAATTTGCCATCTGTCTATTCTAGCTGTTATTTTGATTACAAAAGGCAATGAAAAACGCAATCGTAAACCGTTGGAAAAGGGAAGCAAATACAAGTGAACAAAACAGACAAGAATAAAGAACAGGCAGATTTTGTTCATAAGCCAAATCGAGATTTAGTTATTGAATCGAGGTCCAATTTGACTGTTGGATTATTCATTTTATGAATGGATTATTGAATCTACAAAAGGAAATCATTTTTTCATTAATGAATTTATTAGTTCGTTAGCGACGGGAACGCTTGACCTGCTTTGACTGTAATCGCAAAAAATTATTAATTCTCACTGCTGTTACCCGATTTCTAGTTCTTAATAAAATCCAAGATTGCGGACGTGTTTGTTGACGGCACAGACGTGCAGCAGCGCCACCACCCATAAAATATACCTCACCTTGTAGAGAAGATCAAAGACTTCCCACTGAAGTCAAAATCTTTTCGAAATACTCAACATATCAAAAACTCGAGGGGGGGGTCCATCAACCCCCCCTTTTGTACCACGGTGGGGGGATGATTTTGCGTATACGTTCGAAGGTTAAACCCCTCCTATCTATAAAACGCCCCCGCTTGGACCCCTAAAATTAAATAGACGCCCCGGGCGTTTATTGGGTCATTTCCGTTACAAGTAAATAAGAATTTGCTTACAAGAAATTATCTTGTCAAAGGTAGATGTTTCGGGTAGGAAGAAAGCCCCTTTTTGTCGGTTCTCGTAAGCGACCGCCTCTCGTAAGTCACCAATAAATCTTTGCATTATGGGTGGTGGCTCACAGGAGATTCGACTGTACTCAGATGACTTTAGGTTGCGCTGAAATTTACTGTAGGCTGTTAGCCAATGAGAAGACAAATGGTGAGTACAATGTATAATAATCTGCAAAATTGACAAAGCCCTTGACAGCCAACCTCAACGTGTTGTATTTTTGCAGTGACAAGGCCTGAGACGATTTATCCCTTTTTTTACCATTTTTGATTTTCATCAGTTATTTCTCCTTTTTTTTGTAGGAGTTCAGACTCTTCCTGGGTACAGTTTTGAGGACTTTTTCACATTAATAGAGCGCTCCAAACAAGAAATTATTTTACGATTGCTACAACCTAAATTAATCCTTCTGTGGCAAGTGTCACTCATTAGGAAACTTAGATAGAGTAACAAAAGTTAAAATAACTAATTGCTGTACAACTTTACTTCAATTATTAGTGTGCTGTAGTAAGAGAAGGCAGCGATGCATGTCAGTAATTAGCAAGTAGTTGTGTACAGTATACCGTTGTACACAGTACTTTGATTACAAGAAAGTTTTCACCTCAAATAGGACTTTCGTAGTTGTAAAGTACATGCAAAGTCATTTAGATATTTTTTCCTGAGGCTGTAAATTTCAAAATATTCTTCACTAAATTGGTTGTCAAAGGGTTTTATTCACGCTGATTCGGAAAAAATGATGGTGGTCTCTGTCTACGCTCAATCTACCACCCAATTTGAATATGTACATAGAATTTTCCCTCTATTTCAACACATATTAGCAATAAAAGGGACAAATTGATGATCAGGCCTTCGGACTGACTTGTCTTGTTGGGTAAGCTACTTTTGTAGCATTAGTAACTGCATAGTAGCCTGCTAGGTTACCTCTAACGATCCCATATCACTGGAACCCAACCAACGGATGTTTCCAAATGCGTCATAAGATGGTTTTCTCTATGCTTTAGAAGTCTGTTTAGTTAATTTAGAGCTGCCCTAAAAATTATTTATCTGTTCGGACGTCTAAGGGAACTTTTGTCGTCTCGAAAGGTATAGGCGACTTTTTCGTCTCATCCGAAGCTGTTAGCAACCCTGATGGGTCTACTCGAAAGTTCGAGGACAAGCCCTACTTTTATTAGAAAATTGCTGAGACGTTTTTTGTCTTTAAACCGAAATTTTCAGGAGATTTTAGCCTTTCTCGAGGTTGAAAATTTTCTAGGCAACATATGCTCTTTCGAACAGTTATTTTCAGAAAAAAGTCGTTGGGTGTTCTCCACATATCGGCGTTTTTAAGTGTTGTTAGGAGATAATCTTTGCTCCCCTTATTGTTTGTTTTGTTTTTTTTTGCTTAACCTAGTGTACCTGCGGATTTCAGCAAACTGTGAACAAGCCTCCAGTTGGGGATAAGGGTGAAAAGACTGGTGACGAAACGCGGGGAACCGCGGGAAGGAGAAAGAAGAAAGGCGCCTGTTTTCTCTTTCTCGCCTTTCTTTGCGCCCAACTGCGATAGAGACGTCTGGGAACGTTCGCCATACCCCATACTAGGAGTCCTGTCCATAGACGCTTTGTCAAATATGTTATTGAGTGTGATAGTTATATCGTACATGCTAATAACGGAACAGGGTCACGTCAAACATAACCAGACGCAACGGCAGGAAATTGAATACAAACTGACAAAATATATGTGTCTTTGAGTTCAGCACTACTCTTTTGAGCCATTAACAGACCAACACCTGTGTACAACTTAGTTGCCACCTTCCCTATCACTTGGAATAAAGTCTACTCTACCAACTAGTATTAATTTCTCATTATAACCGAGCTTTAGAAAATTGATCAACGACAGAGACAAATTGTTTTGCTGATAATTTTCAAATTGGCTGTTTTTTTGTTATTCATCTCTCAGTCTGATGAGTTTAAAGGGAAAACTAACTAGGCCATTTTTACGGTGACAACATTTGACCAGAATTACCAAAATTCATTCCTTTTTTGTTTTATTTAAATTAGTCAATCCTGATGAGGTTTAAAAAACAAAAGTCCTGATTTGCACTAGAAAAG